CTGAATGGTCTCCTTGTTGTTCAGTGAGTTTTGTGCCGTAGCCCAAAGTAAGTTGGTTACACCATCAAGAACAAGCAACACCATGTACTTGTTCTTCCTCAACTGAATTTCAGCATGATCAACAAAGATAACATCTCCAAAGTTGGTGGATCGTATGCCTGAAATTCTGGCTCGCGGCGGTGGTGCAATGGAAGTACTACACACACGACACTTGTTGTACATCTCCTCATACTTCTGATAGACAGAGTCAGGAAGTCCTAACATGGAAGTCCTTCGTCTGAATTGAGGAGACATGTGATAGTGTTTGATATGAAGCTTGTAAAGTTCCACACTATCCTCCAGTTTCCTGAGCATCTTTCTGTATGCTGGTGTCATGGCTTGCACTTCACTACCAGGCAGTGGAATCGAAACTCGCCTAGGCTCAAGAGCATCACTACCTAGTTTCTCAACTTGACTTTCTGAATCTTGCTTACCACGGTTGCGCGCAGGTGCAGAATGTTTCGGTTCAATGACTTGAGGCTCATCTGAATCAATTTTGTCCAAACCTAACTCCCTAGCTACCTTATCAAGCTCATCTTCTTCATCAAGCTTGGGATAGGAGACAACAACCTTCTTTCTTGATGAACCTGATTGAGAGTCATCGACAACCTGAGGTTTCTGCTTACCTACGTGTCTTTTGGCTGCAGGTGGACCTACCTCAATCTTTTTCGAGCCTGGTCCATTTGAAATCGGTTTGCCTTCCTCCTTCTTTAAGGAGCTTGGCTTCTTCTTCTGTACACCTGATGGCACTGAAGAGGCTGACTCAGGGTTAAAAAGATCATCAATGTTTCCACGAAAGGGCTTTGCACGATCAATGTCACTTCTGACAATGTCATCTGGGATCACGTAGTCCTCCTTGATCTTGTAGATGGTCTTGCCCTTCCAGAACTCTTCACTCTGTTCAGAAAACCTCTTCTCAGTGCGCCAGTTGTCCTTGTGAAGAACCTTCTTCTTGCTCTTCTGGAATTCCATGTGGGTTTCTCTCTCATCAAGAAGTTGATCTTTTGGAATTGGAGTTTTCTCTGATCGAGTCATCTCATGTAAGTTCATTCTCTTGTCCTTGTGGTGCCTGATGAGTTCACGACGTAGTGGATCAACCTGCCAGTAGTCACCAGTCACCAAAGCTTCTCCTTCATGATCATTTGTTTGACAGCAATCTGGCTGTACTCAAAGTGATCGTGTTGTGAATAGAAACTTTTGACTTGTGGAGTCTTGAAATGAACTTGGCTCATGTACCATGCTACATCTTGTAGGTCGAGAATGAGATGAGTACTAATGGCTGTCCTCAAAACCATTTTTCTCATGCCAATACGTGCGCAGGACAAATAAGCCTTCTCTGGAGTAATTTCAAATTGAAATCCAAGGTTTCTCATCTGTGGAAGTGACATCAACAATGGGACATCACCTTCTTCGACAATGTCGAATTCTGTAAACTGAGTGTTCCATCCATGATCATACATGAATATCACGAGCTTCTCAGTACATTTTGATTGTTGTGAGTTTGCAAAGAAGAATCTTGAACTTGTTTGCTGAATTTCATACCAGAGTCCACTGTTGGGATGTGAGTCAACATATCTGCAAAATGCTTCAACTGCTCGTCGAGAGCCCATAGCTCTTGTGCATCCAAGATCCAGAATACACACAGTTGGTGGTGCAGAATTCTCTGTGTGAAAAGCTGGTCCATTCTCACATGCCAGATCAGTTTGTACAGTATGAAATGAAAAAGCACTCTGCTGTGATGGTTCCTCTATCTCTGTAGAGCATCCATATGAAAACAATGATGTGCCTTCTGCCAATGGCTTCCATGAAGCCTCACCTTCTTGAAGACCAACTTGCCTGGGCACTACAGCTGGACGTTGTTGTACACCTGGTCGTAGTGCACCAACTTCTCCAACCAGAACAGGGAATCTCTTCATTTCTCTCCTGTTTTGATGTGCTCTTGCATCACGTTGGTTCTGTCCTCCACGACGAGTACGTCGTTGTTCATCCTGTGCTGCATACGTGGATGTCAAAACATCAACACGTGCTGGCTCTGTCTCTGCAACATCAACACGTGCTGGTTCAGTTGTTCCAAATGAAAAGAAACCATGACCAGAACTTGAAGCTGCAGAAGAATAATGAGCTTGTTGAGTTGGTTGATTCTGTATGGCAGGAGCTGATGTGGTCTGAGGTTGAACATAGTTCGACTTGCCTTTTCCATCTCCTGGCTTTCCTCCTTTTCCGTCATCATCCTTGCCTTTCTTGCCTTTCTTTCCTTTTCCTTTTCCTTTTCCTTTCTTCTGGAAGTATCCATACTCATCCATGTAGTACAGATCATCATAGGCCCAATAGCCTTCATTCCAGGTTTGATCATCGGCCCAATAGCCGTCATAGTTTTCATTCCATTCGTCTTCTTGCCATTCATCTTCATAACCTTCTTCACTCACCATGTGAGCACGGCCTTTTCTTCTTCCTTTTCCTCGGCCTTTTCCTTTTCTTGATTTGAAGAACCTTCGTCCTCCTCTGCCTTTTCCTTTTCCTTTTCTCTTTCCTTTACCTTTGCCTCGTCTGATGTATTTGCCTTGGAACCTTCTCTGATACCATGAAGTTGGCGTCATCATAAACCCAGAAAACATCTTCTAAAGCATCCAGGAATCCTTCTGCGCCGTCTTCTTCATCTTCGGCCCAATAGCCGTCGGTTCCTTCTAATTCACCTTCATCCAGTACGAGGAAAGGTCTTCTCTGTGCCATGCCAGAGGGTTGCATCAATGGATTGTCAACTGCTGTTTTGGTAGTGCAAAACATTTCCAAAAACAGGTCACGTAGTTCTTGAATGTTGTATCGATCGAGGGTTCGTCCACGATGTGTCATGATACTTGTGAGTGTGTTTCTCTGATCTTGACTCAGGTCAGCTAGACTTACAAAAATCAATGCTAGCAAATTTTCACCCAGTGGGAATGCTTGTCGCTGTGCTTCTCTACGATTTTCCTGAAATTGTCTGAATGCCGCTAGTGCCAGTTCATCTGTCCAAGGAACAGCTACATAGGGTGTTCCTGAGGCTGCTGCTACTTCAGCTCTCTCTTGTTGATCTTGTTCATGTTCTTGACGTCGTTGTTGAACAAACAGAATTGCTTCAGGACTAGTCACTGTTACTTCTGGAAGTAAATCCATCCAAGACTCAATAAGTCTATTGCCAGTGAGTTGAAATCTAGTCATCCACTTCTGAAGATCCATGGTTCCTCTGTTGAACTTCATGAACTGCATGAAACGGTATAAGAACACGTTCTGGGCACCTTTGATGAAATGAGGTCGTAGAAATCTTTTGAAATAAGCCACTCCTTCATAAGGATCCCTGAGTAATTCTCTATCCAATAGCCTCTTGTATTGTTGAGCATCTCCTTCCAGTCTGTTGCGCAATGCTGGACCACGTTTCTCTGGTTCTAACTCCGTAATGTCACACCAGTCATCAATTGCATCCTCAAAAGCAAAGAAGCTGGTTCGCCCATCATAGGCTGGAGCAACCTTTGTGGTCATCTGTTGCGTCATATGAATCTGTGTTTGCTGGGGTGCTCTTCTCATTGCATAAGAGTCATATTGGTTCCATTCATTTGCATCGACAATGTCGAAGTCATCATCATCATAGCCATGGCTTGCCATTTCTTGGGCTCTACCTGGAGCTCACCCTCAATGAGGGATCACTGCTCCGCTACCACTTGAAGAGGGGCCCTAGCGTCTACTTCAAGATCAGCTAAGGCGTCTTCCCCAATGACAGCACTCTTTTACTCTCAGCCTGTTGCCGGTCAGTGCTTGTCTACAGGGTTATACTCTATATACCTCTTGAGCCTTGAAGGGCGCATATAAATGTGCTCAATACTCATGCATGTACCTATGTAGGTATTAGGTCGAAACAAAAACAAGGGGGGGGGGGTCCCCCCCTTTCGCGTGAAAAATCACGTGATGTCCTTGAGCAGCCCCCCCAATACTTGCTAAAGCAAGAAGACTCCAGCTAGCTGACGCTAGCTGTCGTGAATAGGGTTGCAAAGCAACAAACAAAAAATGCCTCGGCCCGGCAGGAAATGAAAGGCACACTCTGGTGTCTTTGGGCAAAGCATCACTGGGGACCTTTTCTAAATGGGGACCGGCTGACTACTGAAAATTGGGCGTTGACCAAGTAAGTCGGAATTTCATCAAAGTGAATTCACCACAAACGATGGATTTACACTCTGTTGATCTGATTCGGCGATGGGAATTTACCAAACAGCTTGGACCGTGCGGGGAAAAACAGATCCCCAAAGTAGAAGTTTATTTTTTCTTGGACCCCTATGAGGCCCTATCACCAGCTGAGCAAGTCACCTGCCGGACTTTCACTCTTGATTTCTATGAAACAAGGCGCCAGCTTTCAACGGCAAAAACCTATGGTAAAAATAGAACTAAAGGGGACCACATGATTTAGTTATAACCATGTGGTCCCTTGATTATCTGACTAGTTATATTAGCCATAGCCAATTGTTATAGATTTACAATAAATTTTATTAGTTAGCTATTCTATTATCTGGTTAATTACAAAGATATAATCAGTAAAACTAATAAAACTAAACATATTACTTATATGATATATAATGAATAAACCTAATATAATAACAAAACATGTGACCATATCTGCCACTGATTTCCACTCTCTGGATGTTTCAACAGCTGGGCTGTGATGCGCTGGAGCTGTAAAACACCAAATATCTTCCCATGTGATTCATATCCCCCATGTTGAACATGCCCCCAAATAAAATAATTATATATATATATATATATATCATGCATGTATATACATATTAATGATGTATTATAAATATTCATGAAGCATATCCCACATATGCTATGAATTACTAATATATATATATATGTATATATATATCTTTAACCAAACTCAAAAAAAAACGATCCACAACCCATAGAGATGGATCAACAAAAGGTGAACATGATTAGCGCCTCCTCGCCCAAGCGTGCTTGTCCATCACCAAAGTTCACGCTTCCCTCTCCAGCATAGGCCGGAGCCTGGGCCAAAGTCAACCAGGGATGTAGAGGATATAACGAAGTAACTATTGTTGTAGATACATATATTTAATGTTGTAGATACATGTTATAGAAAAAACTATTCATACACTATTATAACCATGTAAGTATGGTTTCTCATGTATAGATACAATAGAATTAGTATGCATTGTTTGACGTATTGTGGACCAACCCAACATGAAATATGGCCTGGATTTGTCCAATTAAAGGTTCAAGTTCAAACATGATTAATTCATTCCCATCGTATGGCGATGTTGATAAACATGTATGGACACATGATGAATAAACGATGAGATGTGCTGGTTCCATACAATCATTAATATGTCTAAATGAGATTGTTATAACATATCATGGGGTTATACAGTTATACATATTAAATATCATATGGATATGTCTGGTTAGTCAAATGTATGAGGTTGTTCAAAGAAACAAATCCATACAATTGACTAACCAGACACGGGATGGTGCCCCAAAGATCCCAGATCACAGCTGGGATCCTTCTTCATGTTGGCGCAAGCTGGCACATTCCGAAACCATTGAAGGTATGGAATGCCAAAAAGCCCTAGCATGATGAAAGTACCGGTTGTTTGGGGATCCCAAGATGGCTAGGTCCCTAGGTTTAGGAAACGGTTTACTACAGCTATGTGGATTATGATATCTCCGACGACCAAAATATCAACAAGGCATGATAAACATATGGCAGTGGGTCAAAACCTGGTACCCCTTCTGTTCACATCAAAATAGCTGGGATTTATGGATGTTCATCCCACTAAAAATGGTATGTATAGGTATTGATCCATAGCCATATATCATATATGTAAACATAAACCAACAAAGATAGGCTTCTCCTTGTGGAGGGCCCCACATTGTCCTCAGGACCCTGCCTGCCCTGCCTGGTAATTCGAGGGCGGTGGGGTGGTGGTGACCCCAGGCCCCCCACAGCTGCCCGAGACGCATCGGAAGGGTCGATCCTGGGCCCCGGTTCAACGGGCAAGGGCCATTAAGAACTGGGACTTAACCACCAAAATAAATGGGTTTTTAACAGTTGATAGTTGATTTAGGTTTCTATTGATTTTGAGGATTTTGAAGGATAACAGTCGGATAACATTTGGATTCTATGATTTTTATGGTGGAGATTATATCCATAGCCAGATTTGGATATAAACCGGCTCACAAGGGAGAATTCCTGTGTCTGAAAAAACAACATGTTTTGGACTTTGTTTGACTCGTACTGTGTCAATGAAACGTTTGTATTTTACAGGACAAAGCATATTTGTAACATTTGTATACAATTGTAAAGAAACAACCTGGAAGATCCATGTCATGACTCGTAAGAAAAGATACTGTTCTTTGTGGATCCTGCCCTTCATCATTCACAATCCGTACCCCCCTAATCCAACATGGCCATAGAACATCTTCACATGTCAACTGCCGTCAACCCCCCAAAAAAAACAGTGCCAATCTAGGATGCCAATACCTTACACAAAGCAACAAAAAAGCACATGTATCTGGATAAATCAAACCATCATCCCGGCTGTAACCAAGTCATGTGAGTCACTCTATTCGCACAAAACAATACACATCAGCCAATATTAATGATCATTATAAACTTAAACAAAAAAACATAAAATCACTGTTCTTGCTTACAAGGCAAGTGTTCCTTTGGTTAGCTTATAGAATCTATAAATCCTATTACAAATCCAGCAAGAAATCCCCATATGTTTCCTTGATTTAATCAATAATTGTCCTATGGTTTCTGTGTATGTGTATATATATATATATACAGTATATATATATACCATCAGGTTAAGACTAACAGTTTGCCATGGAAAATCCACCCATGCTATTAATAGCTAAACCATCTATTTCTATGGGCCATCTATACCATGGCTATGTTAAATAAAGAGGGTATATCTTGGGGGGGCCTACCTTGTCATCTTGTAAAACTCTACCGGCCTCAACTCCGTCCCGGCCTCTATGCTGGTGGTCACACGCACATTCGGCGACCCAGTGACCAACTGCGAGGAGACGTGGGCCATGAACTTAGTTCACTGGATAGCTGCTGTACAATGGCTTTTGAACAAGTCATAGTGTGATATCAATTGATATCATATTAATCATCGTTTTAGTAGTTCCCATATGCTCCATGGTGCTGGTATATTTACCTACATTTGGCTCATTTATGGGGTAAATGTTGGGATTCATATTCCAGCACCATGGTTCGCATATGGGGTTGGGCTGGGTTTGTCTGTTCCAAAAAACATCACCGATCCAGTTGGGCTCCGGTCGGCTCCGGCCTCCTCTCGCCACGCCGCCTCCTCTTCCCGCGGAGGTGGAGTCCAAGGACTTGTTGCGGTGCCACGGTGAAAGGCCCCCGTTTTCCGCCCTGCTGCAAACAACGAGGGGATTTCACTCAGGTTCATGGTTCTTGTATGTAACAAAACATGTAACTATCACATACTATCACCAGATAAGATATATAAGTACTGGATTGTATTTTTCCAACTTATGACTGGCACCCGGTTGGATTTCTTTGGAATGGTAGCCTCCATTTTTGACGATCCTCCCCTCGACCAACCGGACCCACCGAACGCCCGCGGTCCCCGGACGGAATGTAGCCAGGTGGAGGCGTTGGTGGTGGAACGCAATCTGCTGGAGGAAGAGAACAGATGTCTGCCCTGGACTGGACAAAAAAAACCGAGTTCGGATGCCATGGGGGCAGTAAAAAATGGGGGATCCAAGCAGTAAATCTCGGGAGTTACAGCTACTGTAGCCAGTGAAAAAATCAGCAAACATATCAAACATTGGGTGTGTCCAAATAATCTATCTAAACCCCCGGGTTTGGGCCTTTGGATGGAATGGGGTTACCCTATTTTCAGTCAATGTTGGTATGGATCAGAATCTAAAGCGCAGGGAAGCCAAGTATTTCTTAGGAACTGACACCATCCAGTTTTGGGGGTATCAAACCAATCAGACATTATTTTTTTGATGACTTTCGCTCTTATGTAATAGGATCATCTACAGTATCATCTATGCCTTCAACATGATGGATTCTGAAATTGGGATCCCTCACTCCAAGTATGAACTGGAACATCTCAGTAGGAATGGTGCCTGTCATCAGAGTCTGTCCCAACTATGGGAGGGCATAATCCCATACGATTCGTACCCATGAATCATCCCAACAACCCCAAGTAGTCAACTATGTCCGTTTCTAAATATAACTACAGGGAGATATATCCCTATAGTATGTGTTGCTTTATATTACATATATATATAATATAAATATAGGTATGATTAGGTAATATAACTATATTACTACTACTAATATATATATATATAAAGTAAGTATATAATATATTATAATCATAGTAGCAACAAATATACCACAAACACGCACATATATATATATATATATCATAAATATATATATATATGTACATATACACATTATATTTATATATATATCATATATATATATATAAATTATATATATACAAATTATATATATACACACATTATATTTATATATATAATATAAATATATAGTATATATACTATATATATATAATTTATATATATATATATATATTCCTATAGCCTATACGTTCTGCAGGTCCTTTGTGTATTTTCCAGCCCCACCTCGACCCCAACATTCCCAGGCCCGACCAGGTCTCATTGAGGCGGCATCCCTGATGTCCCCATAGGGAGATTTCGGAGCGTTGCCTCTGGGACCATCCAAAAACGGGTCGGCAAAATAAGGGGAACGGAGATCTATCGGATATCGATTCAACGGATCTGAGAAAAAAAACTATGATAATTGGAGATAGTTCAAGATTAATATAGTATGATAGGATATTATTTTTTATCATCACTGGGGAAAAAACATATGATCTTCTATGATCTTCCATGAGATTCTGTTGTCTTCTATGATCTTCGAATCTTCTATGATATTCTTTTGTCTTCTATGAATCTCAATGATCCTCTATGATCGTCTGTGATCTTCTAGGAGCTCCAATTGATCCGTGTTCAACACCAGCGTTCCATTCTACTGGATTGTAGGATATCTAGTACAACCCCCGAGCTTCTCATCTACCCAGAAAAACAAGACTTATCAAAGTTGTAAACCAACTTGCCTATTCTGTGGGTCTAGTTTCCTGCAGCTCTCTTCAGCTATATATATATATGTATACACTGTATACTGTATATCCAACTCCAAGTATAGTTCATTGTTGATGCTTTCAGAACACGGGAATACAACTGGGGTGTGGGGGACCATAACTGGGAAAACGAATCAGTGGTTCTTGGCTTGGGGAATCTGTAGAATCCAATGCTGGTTTCAAAGTCTTGGAGAAACACACCTTTGCTATCCCTTTCTTCTGATCAAAACCGAGGATCAAATTTGCACATCAAGAAGATATCAACAACGTGGAAACATCACCTGCAATGTGTTCCGATCTCATGACGACATGGGATCAATGGTCAGCCAACAACGAAGTGTGCTATGAACCAACAACAATTCGGCCTCTGAAAGTGGATCCCAATTTCAGATGATAGAAAGTATGATTCTGGATGAATTTTGACATGTTAACCACAATAGACAGTAAGCGCGCCCAATCGTGTAAACCAAAATCATCTGCTTACCGTTACGGGTCAAGACCTTCTAGTACTGGAGGCACCCCACATTCCCATGATCAACACACTCGCCAAACTTTCCAAATCTGTCGCAAATTGTATTTAAATGTTTCAGGCGGAATGTGACACATCCATACAAGGTGGTGCCCCCTAGATAGCTAAGTTGGTTTATAACTCCAATAACTCTCCTTTATAGGTGATATATCGAACTAGTTCATGGGATTATAAACCAACTTATAACTGGGGGGCACCATCCTGTATTATCGCATAGTATTGTTCGTTGTTTCTTTGAACATCGCCGACAATGTCTCCAACCATCAGCCACCAGCCCGATCTCCAGGGGTCCCTGACGTCACTGTGAAGGAGGTGACATTGGTTGGGTAGTAGGTGATCTGGGAACCAGCTGACCAGCTAACCCCCTGGGAAAGACTATGGAAAATCACCATTTCTACAGTTATGGCCCTCAACAGTTGCAAATGGGACGAAATAACTTCTGCAACTACTTTGGTGAAATAAAAATATAATATATATATATATTTATATAAATAATGAAATAAGCCAGGCACATAACTGATCATAACCGGCTTAAGTAATAAGTTGTAGGGTAAATCATCCAACAAAAAACGGCGGCCATTTTCCATGACATGGTTGGAGATGATCCCAGCATGGTGCCGCCATGGGCCCCCCCCCCATGGGGGTTGGATTGCTCAGTTGGTGCGTTTATAACTACAATAACTGTTGGGTTTATGTTAAGTTGCCCGTGTTTGGCTTAAGACTGGTGGGGAGGTGGTCCGGAGGGGGGGGGTGGTGCACGGCAAGGTGCTAAAATTTCAAAAATATGTGCTCAAATTTAGGGAAATAGGTCTTTTTTTGAAGAAACCCAGTCGGGATCCAGTCGGGACCCAGTCGGGACCCAGTCGGGACCCAATCGGGCACCAATTTTAGCATTTTTGGGCAACGCTTTTGGCCAGTCGGGATCCAGTCGGGATCCAGTCGGGCAACAGTTTTCGAATTTTTTGCACCACGTTTGGACCTGTCGGGAAGCAGCCAAATCACCCAAAAACGCGCAAAAACACTGCAAAAATCCTGTTTTGTGCATTTGGCTGCCTCCCGACATTGGTGCCCGACTGGATCCCGACTGGATCCCGACTGGCCAAAAGCGGTGCCCAAAAATGCAAAAAATGGTGCCCGACTGGGTCCCGACGCGATCCCGACTGGATCCATAGATCGGCAAGAACCCACTCCCGCACCTATTTTTCCCTTCCCAGACCCACCCTTGCCCCTATTTTCCTTTTCCGCGCACCAGCCGTGCACCAATACCCCCCCCCCTCCTGCACCAAAACGGCAAAAGCAGTCTTAAGCCAAACGGGGGTTCTACAAGGTTTATGGTACAAAAATAAGGAACTAGTGAGATGGGGTTATACAAAATGTTATAAACCTACATACGTCACATCATATAACATTTGGGGGGCCCCACATTGTATCATGATGTATATCATGGATATTGTGTCTATCACAAACTCAACCGTTCATCTATAAACCAAACTAGCACAGGATTGGGGGCAGCACTGGCACGTTGGGGGCCATCTGCTCGACGATATGGGGTATGACACCCAACTGCGGGGACATGCCCAATGTAGGCTTCGCTCTTCCACAATCCTCTGGGATGTGGGGCCCTTCAGAAAAATGCCAGTTTTTCGTTATTTCATCCATGTATTTCGATATGACATATCTACGATCTACCATACTATCTACCATAAACCATCGTAAGCATGTAAACCTGGAAACATACAATTATTTGGCGAATGCCCCAGTCAATTAGAGACTGAAATCAGGGAAACAAACCTAAGAAAACACATTTTAGTGCCATCTCCCTACTCTCCCCTCTTTTCTTCGTTGTTTAATGTTCAAAAAATTGTTTCAAAACCACTTGTCTGGGCCGGGTCTGTGAACTACCGATGAGAACCTCGAAACGGCAAGTCCAATGGGTTACCCTCTGGTAAACTAACAGTTTGCTATTGAACATGGCCCATTGAAATCGTGGATTTACCAATAAACAATGGATATTTTCCATAGCAAACTCTTAGTTTACCAGAAGGGTTTGACACATTTTGACCTAAGGACCTACATCAGCGCTGATAACTGTTGGTGCGTAAAATCATGCTGTCAATTTTCAGTTTCAGTTTTCTATTGTTGAAATCTGAAAATGGATACCCGCTGCATTTATCAACATATGGCATTAACTTGGCTATAAAAATCAGTGTTCAGTCCTTCATGTTTCATCAGTCCTCAATGTTTCATATCGGGCTACAGAAGTCTACAAAACCTTCTGGATTTTGTGTTTCAGTCCAATGAATTTCCTTGTTTTTTTCCATGAGTTGTATGCAATTCACCTGAAGAGTTCTGCCATCTGGGGATAGTTAGCCCTTACTAGGCCTCTAATAAAGCTATATACCTAAAAGGTGGTGCCCAGTCACGCCATAAAGTTATACTTCAACTTCGCTAGAGGTCCCAGTTTGTTATGGTCCTATGGTGGATGAAGTTCACCCAGCGTCGCCATGACCAGTCCCCCACTGAGCGCCACCAACATTTTGTCTCGTCGTCCACCAGGGTTGTAAGATCTCAGCGCCAACATCGGTGGCAGGGTTTGGTCCTTGTGAAATTGTACACTTTGCCCAAGGCCGTGAAAATTGTTGGATTTGATGTTGCTTAACACCGGAGTATTATTGATCATGTGTCATGTGTTACAGCAGTTTGTTTTTTATCTTTGCTATATTGAAGACTCTCAGACTCTCAGTATCTGTGTTGATCAAATCGCCAGTTTTGGTGCTGAAGTCCATTGTGTCATTCTTAATTTGTACTGTTTTCACTAAAATCCCCATGTTATTTATTGGGATTTGTTTTTGCCTGAAGCCCCGAGTCCCTTTCGTTCTAAGTCTAAGAATGTAAACCTCCATAAACTGAAATGTTTACCGCCTTGAGAATCACGACCCCTCTGCCTCAAATGCAAAAAAAAGAGTACCCTCCAATGAAAGACCCCAGGGTCTCCAAACTCGGGAAATCAACATCCCCAGGTTCTTAGCATGCGGGAGCCATTATCATGTTGTCATGTATGTAAAACATATGTTCATACATATGTTTATTCATTTATGTGCGAAATTAGTTGTTCTTTTATGCTATTTATACATGTGTCAAACCCCTTTATCTTCCAATAAAGAAACCATGAGAAAAATGGTTTCATATCCATCATTTTTGGACAACACCATTTTCCAATTTTTGGCAAGTGTTCCAATGATTCATGTGTCTCTTGGTTCAGCATCTTTCCGTAGGTGGTTAATTTCACATATGCGACGTCGCAAGAACCATTGTCGCAAATCATCATCAATAATCATCAATCATCATGATTCATCCTCATTCATCCTCATTCATCCCTCATCATCATAATCATCATCATCATGATTATAGTCATCATGATTATGATCATCATGATTATAATCATCATCATCATCATCATCATCATGTCTATGTTCTTTCTCAAATTGCAATACGTTGAGACATTGAATGTTAATCTGACAAAGCAATATATTTGGTTGAATATATACAGTGCCAACTGTTGTTTCCACAGTTTCATGTCTTTGTTGCTGAAAGATGCTGAAACTCCATGATCTCACAAGAAAAGAAACACATAACTGAAATCATTTTTTCCGAAGTCAAACCTCCCAATTTCTGCTAATTAACCTCTGGTACTCAAACTTGGCAACAAAAAAAAGCACATTGTTTAGTTCGATGATTTTCCATTTATTGGAAAATTACCAATCACCATTGAATCCCATGAAATGACAATACAATTCCATACAACCATCATTAAATCCTGCTAAATCGTCTTTAAATCAGATTCATTCCCATCAAATCACCATTGAATCACCATAAAATCCCATAACACCCACCATTAAATCAGATTCATTTCCAAAAAAGCACCATTAAATCAAAAAGAAAGGCCATGAAATCACCATGAAATCACCATCCATTCCAATTACATCCCTTAACTTTGCCATAAAATCCACCATGAATTCCAACAAAATCCACCATGAAATCCACCATTTTCTCCACAGAAATCCAGCAGCAAGGTACGGCCACCAGCGTGAGCACCGCAGCAGGAATCAAGGCGCAGATGGGGGACACTGCCAACAAGGCAGCGCGCTTCTTGGTCTCCTCCGCCTGCCACGGGGCATGGGGATGGCATGGTGTTTTCACCATGGGGATCGATCCGTGCCATTTTTGCCAGTGATAAGAGATATAAGTGATCGAAAAATGCTAAAAAAATAGTGGTTAATAGTGATCAATAGTGATTAATGGTTATGTGACTGGGATATATATATATATAGCAGTTATCTCATAATCACTAATATATAACTAGTGGTTTTATATATCCAATATAGTTATAAGTTATAAGTGATTAGTAGTTATTATATTGGGAGATAACTTATTATACGAGATAATAATTATATGAGTTAATCCCACTGAATGGGGGCTTTACATTCACGGGATAGGATGATTGAATTGTATGATGATTTTAAACAATGATTTAGTGGTGATTCATGAGGATATACGATATATTTGCTGCTGCTAAACTAGCAGCTTGCAAATTGGAAGCTGTGGCACATTTAATGAGTTCCAAGTGCGTCTTTGTAGTCTATCAATAGCAACTGACAGCAACTGACCCATAGTAATACATAGTCACTAACATAGTCAATCATGTGCGAATGCAGATGTGAGTCCCCAAAGCCCTTTGGGAAACACCACATCGGCGTGGTCCCCAAATTCTTCTTTCACCACCCAAGCCATTGGACGCCATTGGACGGGTCGGGCCGTGATTTTTGCCCATCCCATCACTCCCATCCTTCTGAGATCCCGGACTGCTTCCATGAAAGCATCAGAAGGCCACTAGCGATACCCTAAATCCTCCTGATGGACACCTACGGGGTTCCAAAGAAACCCACGACGGCAGGGTGTTTTGTCGGGTTCGTTCGTTTCTGAAGTTGGTCGGTTAGGCACATCTGGCCCAAATAACAGTCGTAAAAATTGAAAGTAGAACATGCTTGTGCAACTTGAAAAAGGGCAACCTGATACGCACATATTGCAAGTGATTTGGGACTTGCTATTGCAGCAAGATATCGCAACATCTTAACGATGAACAGATAGGAAAACCGTGCTGACTCAGATTTTCTCAACGTTGTTTTGTATGCTTTACAGTCTTGGAGCCAGTGGGGAGGCAAGGCCGACGACCATTCAAAAACAAGCTGAAAATGTGGAAAAGGCCGCCCTAAAATGCGGAGTTTTTGACCAACCATGGTAGGTTTTTTTTCTGTAGAATGGTATACGATATCTCCCTTAAGTTGGGATATAACCACCTACTATGGCAACATATATCCACTTATATCCACTTAGTTCTGGACCCCACACAACTGAGCGACCACAACATAAAACCCATGACACGCAAGAATCGCAGAAACTCAAAGGAGCCATGGAACCAATGTCCAAATCCAATCCAATCATCAAGAAAAGCAAGACACACATCTATTCCTGAAGTTGTTTCCACTATATCACATGGATCTGCCGTTTGAGTTTATGCAACGGCCTTATTTTAACACTGGCTCTTGCCATCGTGGAGTCCCTGTGGTTGACGTGATGTCAACAACGTGGGCAGCACCGGAGTCACCGGGGGCCCGCAGGGAAGAGGTTGCGGAGACGAGAAACGTGTGTCCTGATGGGCAAAGTTAGACACTATAGTTCTTTGAACCCCGTGGCAGAATATTCTCAGAATATGTATATAATTATATATATACTATACTTGCCCTACTGATATATTAGGTATACATGTATAATATATATATATATGCATATATGGTTGTATATACACACATATATATATATAAACCTTGTCCGCGCTTCTCACCACTAGAGTCAGCTTGTTTCCACTCCTGGGTTGATCTATTCCCAGTGGAACCATATAACCATAGATCCAAAGCTACTTAAGGCCCAACCACATGATGCGCCAGTCATATGCCATACTTCTTTCTCGAAAATGATGCGCCAACTATATGACACATATACTTCTGATGAGAAAATACTATGAAATGGGGGTAACAATTAAAAAATAAACTCCAGTCATCCAAATGTTCATCTGGTTTCCAGCTTTGCCCGGACCCGAAGAACCAGAGAGCAAAAAAGGGTGGGCCTCCCACTCCTCAAATAGTTGGCCTATTTGTCTCGGTGAACTGTTGGGTTAATGGTGTGTGTATATATATATATATATATAACAAGGACACAAAATAATGAGAAAAATGGGAAAAGGATGATCATCCAGTAAATAATGATCATCCAGTAAATCATGTTGAAGATATGGAAAACAGTGATCTTGGGTCTAGAGTCTCGATAATTTCCACACATATATAGCCACATGCCAGTGAAATTTCCTTGATTGATAGTCTGGTTGGTGTTTTAAACATCTTGAAAAATATGAGTTCGTCAATGGGAAGGATGACATCCCAATATATTATGGAGAATAAAACATGTTCCAAACCACCAACCAGTATATATATACACACAATTAAAGTTCCTTGTGGTATATATATACTGTATATATATATATAACTAAGGTTAACTACTGCATGTATCTACCCACATTTCATTGCAGATATAACTTGATATAACTCTAAAGTAATTGGGTTACCAAATTAACAAAAGATCAACCAACACACATTTCACCGGGAAGCACCACGTTTTTTGTTCCTATTTCAAGGCTGTCCTCGAAAAAAATGTTGCAATGTGGAGCGTCTTGTGGCCCAATTTGCTTATCCTGGCACGATGACAAAGGCTCCCTTCCGGGGCTTTGCTTTTTTTGCCTGCACTTATTTATGGCCTCAAAAACACAGCCTTAAATGGGATTCCTGACACTAGTTGGTGTTATATATATATATATATATCATGAGATCAGCCACTGAGAAACTGCAAAGGGCTAAACCTATAACGGGCAAAAGCCAGTGTACCGAACAACAGCAACCGCAGAATTGATCGTATGACTGAGTTGCTTTCCTCTCTGTGGTTGATAAGATTGAACGCACAATGCCTTTGCCATTATAACAATCTACAATTGCCATAAATAGGCAGATGTATATACAGTATACATACGTCCACATATATCTGATTGTATCTGTATACAAGATGTACAGCGTCTATTATATATATAATATAATAGTTGTATATATGTATACACATCATATATACACATACATTTCACCTGGAAAAGACATGTCCCTTTCTGATCGACACAGGCATGAGCTGGCACAAGGAGGAGAAGAGAGCTGGTTCCAAACAACTTGCCCTGCTTCCTGTCAGATGGTTTCCCATTGGCCAAAGGAACATATCTTTGAACATAACAAAAACAACAGTATATCAAAACATTTTTGTATGGTCGAAAACAAAAACTACCCAGTGGTTCTGCTTCAGGCAACTAGACTTTTTGACTCTAATTGATTAATCAGCATGCCCGGCTCCTTATTTCCTCCAATATCTTGAGTAAAACCCAAACCAAACCAAGTTCCCAGAAAATCTCAGCTTCGCCTAAGAAAATTTCGGATGGTCAAGAACCAAGCAACGATCATGGAAATCTTAGGCTGCATCTCCAAAGGTACCCAAAGAAACAATGCCTTATGCATAGGGGAGATTAACATGGTCAACCTTTGCAAGTCCACTAAACACTATATACTCTGTTGCTGGCTGTGGCTACTTTCCATTTATAGCCACAAACTAAAAGGATTCGACAAACTATCCAAGGTTGGGAATATGAACTCCAATCAGCCCTTACGAATGAGGCGGACAAAACCCTGATTGTTGTGCAGTTGCAAATGGGATAACCCTTTATAACCCCCACTAACAGGTTCTAGCTACTTCGATTTATCTACCATTAGACCCGACAGTAACCTCCTTATTTCAACTAACTTAGCTACACAACTAAATTCCATAAATAATCCCATCGAATCACCATTAAATTCCTCCTTCAATCAGCCAATCACCATTAAATCCTATAAAATCATTGCTAAATCCCATTAAATTAGCATTAAACCTGCAGTAAATCCTATTGAATCACCTTTAGACCCGACTAATTCTCATCAAATCGCCATGAAATGGACCATCAAATCACCATTGAACCACCATTAGAACTCATTGGAATGAGCCATTGATGAGCGGCGACCAATGGTTGCGCGCGCGCCTCGCCCCATGGCTGGAACTCTTCAGCACTTCGGCCAGTGGTTCCGATGAGGCGCGAGGCCACCTCCGAACGAGACGCGAATGGTGATTTTGATGTGATTCCATGGCGGTTTTATGCGATTGAAGGATGGTTTTATGGTGATTTTATGGTGACTTCATTGCGATTTCATGGTATTTAGTGGTGATTGATGTGGATTTTAGATTGTGGTGATTTATATCATGATCACTATGGATTGTTTTGGTGATTGGTATTGTGATTCATTCGGTGATTTATGCCTATTTTGTGGGAACCAAAAAAACACGGCGGACACCACAACTGGCAATAGATATTCCAACTTCAGTCTGGATAGGACAAAATGTTACTGTCTGGATACTGTATAAATGGACATATATAAATGGGATATTGTTTATTGTCGGCTTTGATTACAAGCGGGTGTGAACATGGTGTGTTTTTGATTAACTAAGTTAACTAGCATTAAGGCCCACAGAACCAAACAAATCAACCATGAATTCTGACTAAATGGTTCCTCCAGGAACTATTTCTGGTAGTCTTACTTCGTTGCTCCAGTCCCTCTCCTCATCATTACCACATGGCGAGTTTGACCTGGAACTCCATGGGGGTGCCTCTCAAAAAACATGGCTGTGTCAATGAGTCATCTGTATATGTATATATAAATATATGTATATATCTAATTATATTTATATATGATTATATTGATATATAATTAGGTGTGTATATATATGTATTGATATATATATATATATATATATATATATTTATTTATTTATTTATTTCTTGATAAGTATATATATGTATATATATATATATATGTATCACTATATATATAACAATATGTTTATATCACTATATATATTTATATTTATATATCACTATATGTATATATATATGTATATATATATATTGATATATATATAAATATATCACTATATATTTAAATGTATTGATATATCACTATATATATACAATATTGATATAAATTTATGTGTAATCATAATGAATCATATTTATATATTTATATATTAGGGAGTTGCTCTAACACGTTTTCTTTACGCCTAAAATTACCTAGATTATACTCCTTAAGTAGTATAATTATACTCCTTAAATTCTCAAATTATACCCCTTAAGTAGTAAATTATACTCCTTAAATTCTGAAATTATACCCCTTAAGGAGTATAATTATACTCCTTAAATTCTGAAATTATACCCCTTAAGGAGTATAATTATACTCCTTAAATTCTGAAATTATACCCCTTAAGGAGTATAATTATACTCCTTAAATTCTGAAATTATACCCCTTAAGGAGTATAATTATACTCCTTAAATTCTGAAATACCCCTTAAGGAGTATAATTATACTCCTTAAATTCTGAAATTATACCCCTTAAGGAGTATAATTATACTCCTTAAATTCTGAAATTATACCCCTTAAGGAGTATAATTATACTCCTTAAATTCTGAAATTATACCCCTTACGGAGTATAAATTATACTCCTTAAATTCTCAAATTATACCCCTTAAGGAGTATAATTATACTGCTTAAATTGTCAGATTATACCCCTTATATTGTCTTATACCACGTATTGCTTACAATCTGAATCTCTTGCCCCAACAAATCCCAACAATGGCTTCCCGATCTCCTTTGATCTAGCAGCTAGCAAATGGTGGGAAATGTCCAAAGCATGCACGAAATATGCTCAGAACGTACAAATCACCATATTACATAATATTTGGTGGTGCCTTAATTGAAACCGAAATGCAGTTGGAATAACTCAAAAAAAATGAACCGCCCCAGATAGAAACGGAATGGCTCAACTGCTATTTTCTGCTGGCTCTTCTGTCCATCGTCTCTTTCTCCACTCCATTGCCTGTGGCAATGCTTGTTTCATCTAGCACCGGAGCAACCCAAACCGGCACTCAAATTGCAAGTGTTGAATCAGGATTATTTCCCTGCCGAAAGTGATTCAACCTTCTTTTTAAGGTTTACCTCACACAGCATGCCCTTATTGGACAAAATCTCCAAACATCTCTTTGTAAGGCCCAGACGCGTCTCACCTGGATTCAGGTCACGTGTAAGGCATTGCCCAAGAGTCATCGACCCTTGGAAATATGAAAAATGTGCCAACATAATCTTATCGCCATCTTTTGGCGGTCCTTGCTGCGAGCAAGAACCAAATCGGTTCAAATCACCACCAAGGGCCGTGAGCATAGTCATCACTGCCGGCGTGAGAATCAAATCTTTGGGCAAAACCCTCACTGCCTCCAAAGTCAACTTGATATCCTCACAAATGGCCGAAGATTTGGTACCTACAAACAAAAGGTACTGGGTAGAAGCGCTGCCCACTAGGCATGAGATGGCATTCTTGTCCAAGTGCTCTTTCTGAAAGATGCCGGGAAAGTCATGGTCTGCCTGCATTGCTTTGAAGGAGTTGTGCAACAAGCTCGACATGCACCCAAGTTCATCGTTGCACACGGAGAGCAACTGCACAACATAGGTGCTCATCTTCCCCATGATCTTGTTGAAGTAGTCCTGTTCCTTGTCCGTGTCATTCATTTTGTTGATCATGTTCAGGTATGAGGTGATTGATGAGGCAAATTTGGCCAAGTGCGTGCCCACCTGTGCCACTAACTGCATCTTGAAGATCTGCGTCATCTTGGTTTTGGCCTTCCTAGCTTCAAACTCTTCATCGACAATCTGCTTGAAAGGCTTCATTTCCTGAGCCTCATCGATCTTTTCCCGAAACATCACCATGTACTTGGATAGCCCAAGCAAAGAACCAGCCAAGCAAAGGAACGACACATGGACCTGCACCTTCCTGTCCTCCGAACACCCGTCAATTTCCACCAGGCTGCTCATCTTAGAGATGTAAGCCAAGTAGAAGTAGAGGTTGGCATAGTCGAGGCCACTCTTGCCCTCCTGCCATGTGGTTGTAAATGTCGATATCATATTATCATATTATTATAACTATTATATTATTGTATGATCTTCATATTTATATGATATGAGTTGAATTAATCCATATTTTGTTGATCTGAACGCGATACATAAATATAATAATTAATAATACAATATATATAAAAAATAATATATAATTACATATAATATTATATAATATATATATATATAATATAGACATATAGACATTGTAAATTATAATTTATAACTTATAACTTATAACAAATAATATTGTTGAAGATCATACCATCAAAATCTAAAAATACCAGAACGTTGTATTTAAAAATGAGCCTTAACTTTGATTTTTATACATCATATATCTCATATATCATATATCATATCACTTACTTATATATTGTATAATATAACAATAAAAAATAATATAATATAAATATATAGTCTTAGATCAATGACAATGTATAGCACTAACTACCAGTTTGATGCATAGGTTTCTGTCCTTGTCGTCCATGTCCATCGTCCCAACAACTCCAGTCTGAAGCACTGCTTCGAGATTGATCTCTGTCTCCATAATCTGCACGACAAACTTGTGAAAAGTTGCAGTCGATGCCTTCATGAATTTGGTGACAGAACCTTCGATCAAATGCTTGACCGCAGTGACGCTAGTGGCCCACTTTGGCAGCACAGCCTCCAACTCACTCATCATGGCAACTCCAGCGATTGTAGAAAACAAGGAAACCAATCGCTCTTCAAGAAGGAGCCCCTCATCCACCGAGTCTGCAGCCAAAGTGATAAGTTTGGAGGCAGCCGCTTGCATCGATCGGCAAACGGCTTGCACTGATGAAAGGCTTGCTTCAAGCTTTGCCGCAAGATCCTTGCCAAGCACCTTCAAAAGGTTGAGCTTGGGAAAACACTGGTAGCCCACGATGTCACCCAGCAGCTGCAAGAAGTCAGTTGCTTTGCCCTCCACTACCTTGCCTGCCACAAGCATGCCCAATGTCTCCTCAAAGTCTGGGAATTTTTTCTCAAACTTGAAAGCGGCAAGTTCCAGCAATGCGTCATGGAGTTGCTTGATGCGCTCTTGAATCGCGGACAGCGCAGCAGAGCATTCCTTCTTTGCATCATCTGATGCTTTCTCTTCAAAGCAAACAAACTTTGCCACCATGTCTGCAAACTTTGATTGCTGTGGAATTGACACCTCCACGTCTGATCCATCAGCACGCTCTTTCATGATGGAATCACGGGTAATGGCTTTCAAAGTTCCTGCAAACTCTGCAGCACCTTGGATCTCAGACACCAAAGCTGCATCTTGTCGCAACTTTGACGTGAGCTTGGACACGGTCTCGGCAAGAAAGACGCCGGCAGGGTAGATGGTAATGGCAGTCTGGAAAGTGTTCTTCCCCTTGATGAGAATCGACTTGGCCTGCTCTGCTGCTTCCGCATCTTGAAGATTGACAGCGGAAGGGTCTGAGGTGGCCACCTGCAGGAGCGATGTCAGTCGTACCAAATCATCTTTCAGCGCACTTTTGTCACCTGCGCATGTCTTGGCAAGCGGTGATGTGTGGAAAACGTTCAGGAACCTCATGAGCTTGCTGAAGCCAACAGTCACATCGTTCTTCTTCTCAATCGAATCAGACCTAAAAACGGGGAACTGGTCCAATGAAAAAAGTCAAAGTAGTAGTCATTGATATATCTATATAATTTAATAAATAAATTTCATATATTATATTTTATCATTATATTTTGAATATGTGTGATATTACATGATATTACTCTTATTATATAATATATAATAATAATATGAATAATATAATTATATAATTATATATTTATTTATTGATATTAATTTATAATTACATATCATATATTATTATATTATATATTAAATTAAAATAATAAGGATCAGCTAGAGCGTCTTCCCAGGCTGCCACACTTGGTTTTCCTCTCTCGGTCAATAGCCAGCCAGTGCGGTGCCTAGATTACAAGCTATACCTCTAAGTCATACTATATCAATCTATATCTCAGTCTTGAACCTTGACAGCGTATGTAAGCTGTGCTCAGTACTCATGCTATGCCCCGGTAATAATTAATAAAATAATATTTATATAGTTTATAATTTATATAATGTATTATTATTATATTATTATTTAATATTACAAATTATAAATTATAAATTATAAATATACTATATTATTGATTATTCATTCATTGATTTACTATTTACTTAATATTTCTTTATATCATATTACTACCATTGTATCATATATCGAATCATATTATACAATACATCTCATATCATATCGTATCATATCATCTCATCTCATATCATATCATATCATATTATCATATATCATATAATATATTATATGATCCACCTTACCTACCCTATCTCTGTGCTTTTCTTTTTGAAAATCACAAAAGACGTGCCTTTCTTGGAACGAGCAACGGAGCACAAACGTGTCGAAGGAAGAATTGGTTGATCACATAGGCAACGCATCCAGCTTGGAACTCCTTCACAAGCGGCAAGGAAACTTCATCACCCACACTTTCCCCAATCACAGACTTGATGCCCTCTGGGCGCACTTCTGCAAAGCCAGGATCAAGAAACTCGACAATTGCCCCAAACTTCTCGTCCTCAAACATAGACACCAACGTCCGTTGGCAGATAACGTTGTTGATCTGCAATGGAATGGAGATCTTCAGGTCACGGAGTACTTGTGCACGAGCACCCAGTGTTTCTGGGGCTGCTTCCTTGTCTTGAAGTGCTTCCAAGAAATCTGCCACAGCTTGAAGCATGGATCGGGCATCTTTCAAAGACTGCCAAACTGTTTCAGCTCGGCAGCCGGGACCCTGGACACGGATCATCTCCACAAAACTCTTGGTGGACTCATTGAGTCGGCTGTCCACTTTGTCCAACAAGGAATTGGTTTTGGTAAGGGAGACATTCATGACGCCTCTGGCGTCTTCAACCTGATGCTTGAGCTGACTCGACTGAAGAACAAGGGTTTCACTCTTGTCCAGTTCTCTAGTCTCAGCCGCGCTCTTCTTCCCACCACCAGCCATGCTGAAAGTAAACCTGGCTCCACCATCAGACTGGGATTCTGACTGTTGCCCTGATGCAGCGCTAGCGGCTGCTTGATCTTGTGACGACTGAGCCCCACGAGCACGGGGGATAGCGGTAGATGCTGTCCTGACCTTCTTCTTCACAGGGGCGCTGTTCTCCGCATCATCGCTGGCTCCCCCAAAGCTACTGCCACCCCAGAGCATGTTCATCAATTCGTCGTCTTCATTCGATGCTTTCACCGGCATTTTCCTGACGTGTTTTGTTTGAATCATGATTGGAAAATGTGGGGTGGAAAAAAGGAAATTGAATCAAATTGACATATATCATATTATATTATATAATTGTTAATTACTTACTAATTACTACTAACTACGTTGTATAACATTATATAATACTCTGACTAACTAAGACTAGAACTACATAATATTTGGAAAAACAAGTGCAAAAAATATTTGGAACGAAGTTCAAGGAAAGTTCATCATCCTTGGCAATGGCGCTGACTCTGACCTTCTTCGATGCTGCTTCGAAAGCCTCGGCAGCATTGTCATCGTCGGAAGATCCTCCATCAGCAATTTCATGTATCTGCTTGGCGGTCTTGGCGCTGGTTGATGCAACCTCTACTGCGCCTAAGAGTGGGCAAGATCATCATTCGTTACAAGAGGAGGAAAAACATCAAATACGGGAGGAGGAAATGGAATGTGGTAAATGAAAAAAGGTAAACTGCTTTTGTTGTTTTCACACCCATATATGATCATTTATTTATTATTATATAATATATTTATATATATAAATATATTATATAATATATATAATATATGTTATAATATATATAATTTATAAATATATATAAATATACATATATAATATTTATATAATAATAATATATATATGATATGTATTATATGATTCTATGATATCAGAAACACCATGTCTCATATCAAAACCCCGTCATAGAATCATGAATGATAAATTATAAATCACAACTCGTGATGAATCATGAATCATGAATCATCAATAAAGAATCATGGAATCATTGTCATCATCATCACCATCATCATCGTGATCATCATCATCATCGTCGCCATCATCATCATCATTTTCTTCTTCATCATCATCATCATCGTCATCATCATCACCATCATCATCATCATCATCATCATCATTGCCTTTGTCATTGCCATCGTCATCGTCACCATCACCATCATCATCACCATCATCATCATCATCAAAAATATTCGAAGCAGATCGAATTGAGTCATATCATATCATACGTTCGAAAGTTATATGATGCAATTGGGCCGTAACATAACTGGCAATAATCTAAAAACATGCTTTCATAATCTTTGATAAATAGAGTGTAACCCATGTTAATCCAGAAAGACCGAGGGTCCAATGACCCATTCTTCTAGAAGTGCTCCTTTCAACGGCTTTCCTTGATGCTGTATGGTGGTGAGTTTCTTCGGAATCGGGCGTTCATGCCTTTTGAGCAATGGAACTGGCCACAAGTACCCAAGTATCTGCTTTGTGGCAAAGCTGTTCGACTGCTCTGCAATTGCCTTCGACTCACCTGCCGGCAGTGAATCAAAGCCATCACCAGAGTTAGTTATGTCAAGTTATGTCATGTCAGTGTTGGATCAAATGCATTCTAGCAATGAAAGGATACACAAAGCGAAAGATTGACAGGCCAACAGCTACAATATGATACACAAATTAATTATAATTAAAATTAGATTTACGAATTCTTGCCAGCTGTCTGCAACCAAAGTCCCAAACCTAAAATGGTGTAACTCGACCGCACCTCGACTGCGAGTGCGCTTCTTTCCATCACGAACGCTTTTGCAGTACTCTTCCAGGGCAGCGTTGTAGTCATCCTGGTTGGAACCTTCACCCAAGAATTCCACAAGCCCAGAAGTTGTGTACTCCTTGTAGACGTCATGGTTCTTGATAAAGACAAAGCACGGGCGGCAGTCTCTGCCATTCGCACATCGACGCTTCAAAAGGTCACCAGCCCCCGGGTTCGCCACCAGTGGGTTGGGAGTTGTCTCAAACGCCCTCTTGCACCACTTGCAAATGTCCTCCTTGTTCTTGCTCTTCGTCGCAGCCATGATAACGCCGGCTGCTGATGCACCAAAGGAAAGCACGAGTATCTAGACTCTCAAATCGGTGTTGGCTGCAAAATGCTCGGGAAGAAAAAAATGCGAATGGAAAATTCCCAAGTTCAACGTGCCACTTTCTAATTCTTGATGGCATCATGAGTCTAATTCTGAATGAATCATCAATGCGTCACTGCAACATCACAACAGCCAAAGGACTCAAGAGGGAAAATGAAATTTTGAAATTCCAATTGCCAATTTCACCTCTGAAAACCAACACTGCCAACACTTGAATCATCACGCTCAAAACAGTGAGAGATCGGCTGAGGCCCAAATCAAAGAAACAATTTGGGAAGCTAGAAGGAAAACACAAATACAGGAAGGATAAGAAGCAAGAATTCCAGACTTGCAAAGCCAACCTGACAGAAAACCAAACATAGAGAATTAGAATCAGAATGAGGAAAAGCAGCTCTTGAGTTTTTCTCGCTCTTTCACCTGACAGTTTGCCACTATCTGCAAATGCTTCGGCTTTGCAACTTGGCACGGGGCTGCGCAAGGCAGTTACATGGCAGCTACATAGGCTATTCTAGAGACCGCTCTGACAACACAATAATATCCTTAATAGCCCTCTTTGTTGTGTATGGATCAGGTTCATATTCATTTGCAAAAATCATACATAGAATCAGTGTAGGCTCGCGATCCCTATTTCACCCATCAGGCTATTATTCCACATCACATCTACTGTAATTAATTAATCCAATTTGGAACATGATGATTTGCAAAAGAACCCTCGGCGTGCCGATTCAGAGCTTTCATCACACAGCCAACACCAACTGGAAAAGAATGAAAGAAACAAAACCAACGCTGGGAGGCATCGAGGAGTTGGCTAGCAATACCTACAAGAACTTGAAAAGCGGTAGGTAATGTATGCTGAGCCATGTGCTGACATCTATTGAGTCAGACACCCATGCGGCCCATGCGGCCGAACCCGTATCACTTGGACTTGTACTCGTCCTCGGATTCGGTGTAGCAACCCTGAGCGTCACCACGACGAACCTTCTCCCACTTCGACTAATCGCGCGGCTTTGCGGCCACCGAGCACTGCCAGCCGCGATTCTCAAGCTCCGAGCGCCAAAACCTTGTAGGGGTGCAGGATCATATGGAGGAAGGAAAACAAGATCAGTATAATTCAATATATATAATTTAATTTAATAATAATTATAAATATAATTATAGACTAGACAACAATAAATTATAAATAACATAATTTTATTAGACTATATCACTCACCAATGTGGCTATATCAAAGTCAAATGTCAATGTCAATGTCAATGTCAAACAAGTTAGATCATACAAATGAACCTCAAAATATGACAACCCATAAAATGATATGATATGTGATATTATGAATTATAAATTGTAAATTACTTGATATGATATGATTCGATATGAAATGTATGATACATGTGGGGGAAATAAATAACATAAGCACGAGTTCATAGATGTAACCCGAATCAATATTTTATGATCTGGTGGAACATGATACGATTTGATGCCATGGGGATATGAGTAAATAATAAAAAAAATAACAAATTGAAATTTATAATAAAGATTGTTTAGATGGTATGAGTCAGTATCTGAATCTGTTTCATACTTTTCATACAAATGATGAGGGACAGATGTAGTCAAATCATCATCATAGAATCATAAATTATATTATAATTTTAATTTCATCATATAATATCATATGAATCGAAACATATATCAGAATCATATCATATCATATCAATCCCATCGAAACACAATCATTGTCATAACATCAAACCAAATCATATCAAAACAAACATAACATAGAATAACATAACATAACATAACTTAACCTTTCATTTCATTCCTGCATGCAACAAACTAAACAGAACTTAACCTCACACAACGTAACAAAACAGTAACATAACTGACTCATAACCAGCTATCCCACATACGAACCGTATGCCGCATACCATACCGTTTACCGTATACCGTATACCGTATACCTTATACATACCCGTATACCATACCGTATATAATATACCGTATACCAAACCGTGCGTATCGATACGCCGATACCGCCGATACCGTATTCCGTATTCAATCCGTACCGTAATCATCCCATACAACACACATCACATCATCCCCTTTGGATCCCAGAGACACTGCCCAAGTGCAATTAGGCGGGCAATTGAAGCTCTTGTTATACTGCTTCATGTCGTCATATTCATTGTAGATCTTTGCCAAGATGTTCTGAAAATTATCCTTCTTCACCTTGTCTTTCAAACTCAAACGGGGAGACCCTTTCATCGGGCTCATGCTGGCCGATGGCTTCTTCATACCTGGGGACATCTTGGTCTTAGGTGACTGGTTCTTCTTGGGTGTTTTCTCCTGGTTCTTGGGAGATGTCTTTGGACTCTTCGGGGAGGATGTCTTTGGACTCTTCGGGGATGATGTCTTTGGACTCTTCGGGGAGTTGACCTTCAGCACGGTTTTGCGCACAGTCTTGTTGGGTCCCTTCTTGGAAGAGGAACTGGGAGTACCAGACGTGTGAGACTTGGGGGATGAAGCCTTGCTCTTCTTGCCTTTCATTGGTGGTGTCTGTGGCGGAGAACCCACAAATGCAAAACCACGTCGAAGTCTAGGTGTAGGAGAGAGAGGCAAGGTAGAGGCTTTCGACATCGGGGTAGATGGTGACTGGGATGCCATGAGTCCAATGCCGCAACACAAGTCTATGAATCTGGCCTAACTGGGACTGCTATGCGCAAGAAAATGCTACAAGTCAACGATCAATCTCAACAATTTGTCAACAATCCCAGAAATTGCCAAATTTCAACTCCAAAAGATTTCAGGAATTGCCAAATTTGAAGCCCCAAAATTGCCAAATTTCAGGCCCAAAAATTCCCGATTTCAGGAAAAATTATACTCCTTAACTCCCGGACTTAAGGAGTATAATTTTCCGGGTGGATAAGGAGTATAATCACCTATTTTGTTGCAGAAAACGAAATTATACTCCTTATTTTCTGGGAAAATTATACTCCTTAAGTCCGGAGTTAAGGAGTATAATTTTTCCGGAAAATGTCCCGTCCGAGGCCCCCAAAATTGTCATGTTTGAGGCTCCAAAATTGTCCCGTTTGAGGCTCCAAAATGTACTCCCAGATATCCCGTTTGATGTTTCTATGAGTCAAAAGTCATTGATCATAGAATCATTTTTTATCATATCACGAATCATATCATATCATATCATAAATCATCTGAAAGAACAATTTAAGTTCACCATCAAACACAAATAAATCAGGAATGGAATCATGAATCATGAATCATAAATTCCTAAACCCATAATAATTAAATTTATAAATAACTGCAAACCACTAATCATGAATTATGATGAACCATATTTCATTGATGGATCATTGACTCATTGATCATGAATCATGAATCATTGAATCATTGAATCATATTAATAAAATAATATCCATCATCAAATATCATCAATGTCAATAAGTCAATAAATAATAATAATTATTAATAATATTATTATGAATTGATAATAAATAATAAATAATAATATTATTATATCAATCATCCATCAATGATCAATGTCAATGAACAATTTATCAAGTGTATTATATTATCAATCAATTGTCAATGAATGATTTATCTCAATGATCAAAACTCATTGTCATTATTATTATCATTATCATCATCATTGAATTGCTCAGTGTATCATTGATCATTGACCGTTGATCATGAACCATAAATTACCATCACAAACCATACATCAAAAAACATGGTATCATAGAATCATAAATCATGAATCATCATCATGAGTCATGAGTCAAAAATCATGAATCATAAAACATACAATGAACTTGCAAGATGTAACTTATCCCAACCAACCAATCCAAACTGTTGATGATTTGAGCTTCCTGAAGTTGAAAACCCAGCTGCCCGAAACACAAACCCTGGCGAATGGCCCTGTGCGCTGACACGGACCTGTTCTTTTTAGACAACCACGATGTGACGATGTCTAGGTAACCTCCCCAACTTCAACTGCTGTGGGCACTAAATTGTTTTGAGATGTTGCTGTCATTTTCTGACTTTCATCCCCAGGCCCTTTTTAAATTCACGTGCTAAATTCAAATGTGAATCATGATTGTTTCTACGGCCTTCGGCCAGCCAATCCAACAAAACATCTACATTACTCGAACTGGAAATCCAGCAAATGCATTTGGAATGCTTCTTGCACTGTGCGCGAAGTGTGGTATTTCCAGTCTTATTGTCCACTAAAATGTTCACTGTGCCCAAACTCACAGTCTTAGGCCCAGATTGATACAAGACTTCGGAAATGGTCCCTGAAGAACCCAATTGTTTGACCTGTACAATGCTTCCATCAGGGTCAACCCCAAGAGTTTTCACATCAACTTTTTGGGCTTTGGGATTCGAACTGGTGTTTGAAGCATCCGTTCCCGGCGTCACACTGCTCCCAACTTCTGGCATAGCGGAGACAGCATCTGTCATAGGTGTAGCGGTTGCCGACCTTTCCGTTGAAGGGTCCTGGGCAAAAGCGGCTATAAACATAACATGAATGACATTTCATTAAACATAAGTTAATAATATAAAAACATAACATGACAATATCATCAGAATCATAATAATAATAATATTAATAATAATAATTGATCATCTCATACGATATGATATGGTCCTGGTCCATAGATATGATTCAATTTGATATGATATGAAGTGATATGATATGATTTGATTGTTATATAAAGTACATACATCATACATCAATATCATAATATAATATCATATAATCATGAAATATATATTTGTTATATTATGCAATCATCATATCATAATCATAGAATCACATCATATCATATCATATCAGATCATACAATGACTAAGACTATAGACTATAGACTATATAATTGCAAGATTGAATTGATATACAATATATGATAAATATAATTTAATAGATATGATTTGATATAATTTAATATATAACTATATTATAATATAATATAAATTGTATATTTATATATAATTTATATATGATATTATGTAGTATATGATTATATGATTATGATGTGATTTGATTGTATGATACTTAACATGTAATTGAGCTATAAGTTCTAATTATATAAATAGATTTAATTTAAAAAAATATTATATACAATATATTATAAAAGGATTAAATTATAATGTTGTTCAGTTAGTTATACATCAAGTTATATCATAACACATATCACATATCACATATCATATCAAGTCATATCATAGTCAATAATTATATAATATAATATAATTATAAATTATAAGTAAGTTATAAATGATAAATAATCACAAATTAATAATTTACTCCTATAGCTTCAAGCTGGAATCAGAATTGAAATGTCAAAATCAAAATCCATCCATGGCGTGTAATGTGAGATCTAGCGTTTCATCGGTTTGACGGTCATATCAAAATCAAAACTCTTCACACACATTCCGCTATTAATCAGAAAGTCACAGGTGTAAACAATGTTGACTGTTTAGACGCCTGACTTGAAGGAAGATCTGACCCACACTTGCAAACAACATAACCTCTCTATAAATAACAATAACAAGAATCCGACGGGCACGCACGACTGGATGAGGACGTTAATCCAGCCGCTGGAGCATCGTCAGAAGTCTCATGTAATGTTGCAACATCCTCAAAATCACACTCCGACTCACCTGAACCCACTCCCTCACCAGCAATCCATTCATGTACCTCACCGGTCATCATCTGGCATTGATCACGTGCGCTTTTCAGGGCTGCAATGTCATGCTGCGACAGAAAAGTTGAAAGGGATGGGTCATCCAATATCGGATCATTTCTTTTGTGGTCATCATTACACTCTTTTGTGGTCTCCTGTTTCTTCGCCTGTTGTGTCTTTTTTCGTTTAGGCTTGGGTTCTGAGGCCCTTGTCATCTCGAGGTAAGCTAACAAATCAAACTCTTGGGACTCTTCACCCTGTCCACCCTCACCCTGATCATCCGCTGGATCATCAGCTTCATCTTGATCACCCTCTCCACTGATGGCGGGAGACGTTTCAGGGGTTGCAATCATGGCACCAAACGACTCATTTGCCCCAATCAGCACGACCCTACTTGGCAATATATCCTTGTAATGGATAAGGTGGGCAGTAACTTGCACAGCATCCAAAGTTGAATCTATCTTGACCGGTAAATCCAAAAGAAATGCTGCAAATTGATCTGATGTAAACATGCGCAACCGACCAGCTGAAGTTGGCTGCCGTGGGAAATGGCCCGAGTCCCCAAAATCAAAGTAGGTCAATGCTTGTAAGTCAAGAACCATGCCGCATAAACCTGATTTGTTTTGCATCTCATTCTGAAGCTCAACATCCCAATTGATTGGATGTAGACAAACAAACACCTGCTGTGCTTGGTTGGTTCCGGAACGCGCTGAACATGCAGTCACGAATGCATACTGCAGATACAGAGACCCCATCGTGTCCATGACTTCAAATCGGCAAAGGATGTCGTTCATGACTGTGTTCTGGACGCCACCACACCTGGGAGGTGATATTAAATGTGATACTGATATTATATGGGAGGTGATATTGATAATTATTATATTATTATTATATTATTATTATTAATATTATTAATATTATATTATATATTATTATATTATTATTATATTATTATTATATTATATGTTATTTTTGCATCTTGTATTTTATCATATTATAAACAAAATATAAATATAATAGAATATACTATATTATATTATGTTTTGCTAATTATATTATATTATGTTTAAGTTAATAATATATTATATATTATTATATTATATAATTATATTATTATATTGTTATATAAGTTATAGTTATATATATTATATTAAATTATTATATTATATGATGATTATATAAAATTATAATTATAACATAATTATATAATAATATAACATTATATATAAATTATAATTATTATTATATTATATTTGAGTTATATTATTAGATTCTATTATGTAATTACTAATTACTAATTACTAACTAATTACATGCCATAGTATTCTATTTTTTTGTTAAGTTAGTCATAGTATTGTAAAAATTTTGTTTTTGATGTGTTGTGCTGTTCATTTAATAACGTATCATTAGATTCTTGCAAACAGAATCTATATATATTATATATAGATATGATTCTGTTCTTTCTGTAAAACGACGAAATGGTAGACTATGAATCTGAATCTGAATTGTACTGTCAATTGTTCGTAAGCCGTGCTACCTTGGTGCCCGTGTTTTACCTAGCCAGCATGCATCGGCATGACCCGTCCCCAAATCCATGTTCTATGATATGGCTGTGTCTACACCACCCTTTCTAGATATGAATAGAATGAAAATTAAACCGCCCGAAACTAAAGGCAGCCCATATCGCCCGTATAAAATTTCATCAGAAGTCAATCAAATCACACAGACCATTGACAATTGTACCTGACCATGTTACTGTGACTCATGACTCATGACTATGATTCTATGATTCATGATTCATGACGATTTAATGTCATGTTATGGCGATAAATAAATAAGGAACCGACTCCAACAAGTCAAGTCTACTAGTCTAGAATAGTTCAAACAGGGAAACCCAGCCTAGCATAGCAGCATGAAACATGAATCTTATGATATCATTGTATTATATTGTCATACTAATAATATTGCATTATTAATTTGATAAGACCAAACAATGCAATGTAAGTAACATAGCTATGACACTGAATCACCCGATCACTTCCCCTAAACCGCAAAAACCAAGGATCTCATCAACAATGAAGTTGAACAAAGCCAGTGTGTTGCAATGAAGGGCAACTCTCCTTGAACAGCTGTAGTGACGACACTGTTCACCACAGTGTCCTTCATGAAGTACCCTAGTTGGAAAAACATCGTCGTTATCTGGTCTGGCAACACGCTCAGCTTGCTGTTGGAATCTCTTTGCTGCGTCCTTTCCATGAACCCCAGCCTCCAATTGTGACCGCCACGCTTGGTCCAATGTCTTTTCCCCAAGTGGAAAATCATGCTTTGCCAAAAAATCCTGACCCATAGACTGCCTTTGCTGCTGCCTGTCAAGAATCTTCTAAAAATTCATTTCTGTGTCACCTGACAAAATTTCATTGAGTTCGTGAGCTGGAAGAATTTGCAAATGCTGGACCATTGTATTCCCATTGGCTGGAACCAAAGCAGTTGATGCTGGCTCTGGCTGAGAACCTGCAGATTGGATACCCTTCGCAGCATTCTTGGCGTCCAGTTTCTGTTTTGCTCTAGCATGGATTGCCTTACACTTTGAGTCTTCGGACATCGATTCATACAGATTTTTCTCATGTGGAGAAAGCTGTGAAAATGACTCCCTCACCTCATCCCAAATTTCCTTTGAACAGGGGTTGATCGTTTCATGCCGACCCCGCACTTCCAGAAAATGCTTTCGGTAGATCTCCAAAGCTGACAATCCTTTTGGAGTGGTTTTTTTTTGTTTGGCGAAGGACACCTTCAAACCACCACCCCTTTGATTCTGGCCAACTTTGCCTGCTGTGTCACCTAACCCATCCTTCCCATACTGAAGCGCTGCTGCTTCTTCACGCAAACGTTTGGACTCGGCATTGATGAACTTGGCAGAAATGCTCGCAAAGGATGCACCAGTCAGTGCACGATTCTGTGAATGCATTGCTTCCACGTCGGCTATAGACAGTTGCAGTGTTGATGCCATCGCGTACAAGAAGTTCTTGGAATTTCCATGTGTCAAGTCACCAGCATGCAGCCCCAACTGCTTAAAGTCTCGTGCCAGACCGGGAGGGAAGCAGCAATGGTTCTTGTGCTCCCAAAACCCCAAGAAAGTCTTGAGGGTTTCTGCATGGGAATCCTTGTCACCACACATCATCAATGCCAAATGATCGCTGTTGAAGTACACGAAATGCCGCCTGAACACCCATGCAGCCCCAAGCATTAACAGTCGACGGATGGCTCTGCATCTCTCAGGAAAAATTGCACAAAAGTCCTTGTAATTTGCAAAGTCAATGCTTGACCAGAGTAGCTCCAAGCGGCCTGTCCCAGACTGGCTCAAGAGCAAAGCACTGTAGTGTTGCAAGGCTTCACATACAACGCTACATCTTGGATCAATGAGTTTGAACAACGCAGGTCGTTCACCAAATTGAAAGCTAACCCCAAGGCATGACAACCAATAGTAAATCAGTACTCTGGTAGGTTCCATGGCCAGTGCCAATAACCTGACAATCCATTGGGAATCCACGTTGGCCAAAAAATCTTTCGAGCTTTTCAGTCTTCGCCCATTCACTGCATGAAAACTGAGACTTTCGACAAGTCTAGGATCAGCCGTGGCATCAGCTTCAGAGAATTCTTTGAATGCCATGTCGGCATAAGCAGCCTGAAACGCCTGTGGCAACCACGCGTGAACAATACTTCCGGCCAAGCAGAAATCCTCAACTTGAAAGTCGCCGGGAAAAAAGGCGAATTCATTTCACATCCAAAAACACAAACTTAGCAACATATGTTTGCAAATCAACATATGATTCAAATTAGAATCAATGATTTAAAATTGAAACCATTAGATTAAAGCAATGTACTGAATCATTTGGTATCATTGGAAGTTGAAGCCAAGAATACAGATCACCGTGTATACAGTGAAAACCCCTTTGATAGTATTGGCCTGTGCTGTTAGTAAGCCCCAATCTTTCCAATTACTTTACGCACTGAAATAGATAATATAAATAATATAAATATAATATGAATCAAATCATGTGGGAGCAGGATTTGACTTGTATTATCAAACCAAATCACGTCATATGATTTCAACAATTAACGCATTTTCAGTAGAAATGTTGTCCTTCCCCGGATAGTGCGGTTCTTCCTACTTAGCCCCAAAACAGGCACCCTACAGCAAAAGAAACATTTTCTGCTAATGGACAATTTATCTAATCTTGGGTCATTAGGATCTGATTCATGATTCATTTATTTCATAATTCATAGACATTGACCTAAGTTATTTAATCTGGACTAAACAACATAAGAAAAACAATAAGACTCATGACTCATGACTCATGATTCCATAATGACTCAATACTTGAACTGATTTTATCAAAATTTATCCCATCATTTTTGGAAGCTATGAGTTTGGTCCATAGAAATGCCAAGGATCCAAGCATGGATACAATGTGGTCCACTTATATCGGTGCCGGAACAGTCGGCATGGCATTGAGGAACATGTTTGTCAGAGCTTCAACGCACTTTCTCACAGCTTCGGAACGATCGAAGCAGTGTCGCTGATGATGTGGTACAGAATGATGTGAACAGCGGTGGCAAGGAGTCATCAGCTCTGTGTTGCTGTTGAACATGTCCAAAAAATCATGAACTGCACGCTCAAATGCCGCAGAACCTTCGCCAGTCTGCGACTCAACCTTTCGGTTGTGTCGAAGATACGAAACCAACTCCAAAATGGCTGGGTGGTGCGAATTTTGAGGCTCAGCTCCACTGCCCACATCCATCACACACTGATCAAATATCAAAGTGTCTTCCACCCACGAACGGAGAGCCTGCTTCAGGCGTAGCCAATTTCCTAAATTCCGTATGAAGACTGCAAGCCCATACATTCGTGATAGCAAATTGTGCCCCGCAATTGACAGCAATGATACATTCACAAGCTGTGACTGGTGGTTTTGGCACTTCCCATGAACCAAGTGCGATTTGCGAGGATCAGTCTTGTTGCGCTGCAACAAATATCCCACCAGCCTGTCGTTCGCGTAAGCAGCATCACTCTCCAAGACGAGACCCCTGTGCCAGCAAAGATCTCCCAATCGATCTACCAGATCTTGCACAGCTCTGTGAAGTGGATGGTGCCGTAGAGCGTAGTAGATATTTTGCGCAGAGCCTGAAAGGAGAACAGCTGGAGGCATCACAAGTCGAATTATTGCCACAGAACCGTCCATCCAGCCAAGAATGATGCGTTGGCGGACGACCATCACCTCCCATGAGGATGCCACACGCCTCCTCTCATCCAGATCAGCATTTACGGACGTCCAAAGGGACGTCTCATCCCACTTGAGATGTCTGATAAAGAAGCATGGTGCACTGGATGAAGCAAGCCCAATAAGTTTCCCAAGCAAGACAGACTGCTGAGCTAAATACACGGAGGACACCATCAGTGACATAAATCTTGCTGTAGATCTTGACACGTCCAAAGCTAAAGATATATGTGTATCTCGCTTGAAACGGCCGTAGCATGCAGACAGAAAGTCACCCCATGGTATGCTTTTCTTGAAGCGATTGCCTGTGCGATTTTTCTCAGAAAATTTGATAATGACACCACAAGTTGTCATTTCAGCACGCACACCGATGAGCTTCCCGTCCTTTCGAAATGAACTTTCATCTAACAGCTCCGCAACCTGACTTCTAAAATGTGCATGCTGAATCAATGACTTGCAGTGACGCATATGCAGCGTAAGCATCTTCTGACTACTCTTCTCCCCATGTCTGCCTCTCCCAATCTTGCCAACCATGTTCGGTAAACGAACATTCAAACCAGCATCAGAATCACGATGACAAGGGCGCTGATCAGAATCAGAAAGGTCTTCATTTGAACCAGCTGAAAATGAAGATGGACGCTCTAATTCCCCTGAGCATCTATCAACAACATCAGATGGTTGTCCTTCAGATGGACTGGTGTCAAGCAAGGCCAGCAAATCTATTTCACCGTCCATGGCTGCAACTGCAGTCCAAACCTTGTCATGACTCGAGCAAAAAAATCATTCAATATGCAATCCACGAGTTCAGAATGCCAAATAAGTCAAATGGATTTAGACTTCCATTTGCCAAGTTCTTTTTTTCTCCAGGCCCTTCGTATGAAACCCATACATAATAATAATATTATATTATCCCGTGGTCTCATTTTGCATTAAACCTAAGCATTTAACTGATCGTCCTGCCCCACCCGGAGGAAAAGAATTGGTGATGATTAGAAATTAATGGGTGCCATTGAATGCCACACATGAACCAATCTAATCCGAACTTATGCGATCAAAGTATGATTGCCCACTATTGGAATTTCATTCTTCATTGATCCAAGAACATGTTGCCAATATCATTTGACACAATATCATAATATATTAATAATATAATATAATTACATGATTTATCACTTACTCATCCCATTCAATGTTGAAGCTTGTGACATAGATGTACACCAAAACTCCTGGAATCTGGAATAACCCCCTGTGCATAATGTTGGGAAATATAGAATGGATAGCTGATACCACTGATATCGTATCATTTAGCCACCAAAAAAACAACTCCCCAAAAATATAATATATATATATATAATATAACTGTCAAGCGTCAGTTTCTGCCCGGAATAAGACTAGAAATTGGTATAGTGTCCATCCATAATTTATAGCATGGTGCTGTAACACGTTTTTGAGGGGTCTCTCTAGAAGCACTTAAGGATTATAATAATACTCCTTATTATACTCCTTAAGGGGTATAATTTGAGAATTTAAGGATATAATTATGCTGTATACCTTAAGGGGTATAATTTGAGAATTTAAGGAGTATAATTATACTTCTTAAGGGGTATAATTTGAGAATTTAAGGAGTATAATTATACTCCTTAAGGGGTATAATTTGAGAATTTAAGGAGTATAATTATGCTGTATACCTTAAGGGGTATAATTTGAGAATTTAAGGAGTATAATTATACTTCTTAAGGGGTATAATTTGAGAATTTAAGGAGTATAATTATACTCCTTAAGGGGTATAATTTGAGAATTTAAGGAGTATAATTATACTCCTTAAGGGGTATAATTTGAGAATTTAAGGAGTATAACTATACTCCTTAAGGGGTATAATTTGAGAATTTAAGGAGTATAATTATACTCCTTAAGGGGTATAATTTGAGAATTTAAGGAGTATAATTATACTCCTTAAGGGGTATAATTTGAGAATTTAAGGAGTATAATTATACTCCTTAAGGGGTATAATTTAAGAATTTAAGGAGTATAATTATACTCCTTAAGGGGTATAATTTGAAAATTTAAGGAGTATAATTATACTCCTTAAGGGGTATAATTTGAGAATTTAAGGAGTATAATTATACTCCTTAAGGGGTATAATTTGAGAATTTAAGGAGTATAATTATACACCTTAAGGGGTATAATTTAAGAATTTAAGGAGTATAATTATACTCCTTAAGGGGTATAATTTGAAAATTTAAGGAGTATAATATACTGAAATTATACTCCTTAAGTGCTTCTAAAGAGACCCCTCAAAAACGTGTTAGAGCACCATCCTAATTTATATATACACACCAAAAACATGTAGTCATATACGTCTGTATATATATATATATGTGTGTAAAATAAAAACTAAAAACAATCTATATGCGCACCTCCATTTGCACTCCCCATTTCTACCCAAGCTACGTTTACCTCCCAAATATATTGCTCAAAACGACTGCCTTTCTTCACCCACCATTCAGCCTGTTCCAGCGCAGCAATGTATCTGGAACAACTGTGGTCCGTCAGGGAAGTTCCTTGGCTGCTGGGAAAGTACACTTATAGCTCTAAACCAATAGGAAGGCGACCGTTTTTGGATCTGAAGGAGTGCAGTTCTAGCCCTTAACAGCTAGGAAAATGATGGGAAATCACGAAATAATGTAATATATCACCAGCTACTTACAGGAGTTATAATCCCATTTAAGGCCCATTTCAAAAAACGGGCCATAACCGCAGCCCATTGTGACTTGGAGACATGGGGCGCGGCAAAAATGTCATCTGCATCTAGTAAGCGCGGTACAAATGTGAGGCATTGGGTATACCATGGAATGTAGTGGGATTTATAATGGTATTAGTCACTTTCCAAGGTATACCCAATGCCTCACATGGTATACCCAATGTCATTGGTATACCATTGGTACTTTCCCAATTTTGTTAAATAATTAATGTTACTAAGACTTTAAGATGACTAAAATTGTTCTTTTAAAAAAACAAACATACATTTGGTGATTAAAGACCCCATGTGTGCTAGTTACATCTTTATTTTTAGATTGCAAGATCTTAACCTGCGTGTACCTTTAACCTGCTGTGCTGGAAACCATTTCTCGAGTATCCACTTCTGAAGACATATAGGTATATAGAGTCATTAGGTACCAAAAACTCAATGGGATGCTTAAAATTTAAAAGATACAAAAACTATCTAAACTAAAATCTCTGGATCCCATCGAACAATTAACCCCATACCCCATGTTCCTTTTAAAGTTCAGCGCGCCAAGAGGCGGGAGAAGGAAAAGCATCGAAGTCGGCTCAGAGTCCCATCCTGGCGTATTAGATCTTCCGGAAGTAGATAGAGAAAAGGAACATCTAATATGTATGTATACAATATATGGCCATTTATTTATTTTAATAATCCAATACATGGCCATATTATTGTTTAGTAAGTTGCACTTTGTCTGATTTGTTTCCATAGTATATGTCTACTTCAGGATGATTACACATACACACACACACACGTACGTATATACATATATACACATATACATATGTATTATTGTATTTTATAGAAAAACAAAGGTAGAACCAACTCAAAATCTGAAAAAACTGTCTGGATTGGTACAAATCATTGCTCAATAGATCTCATTGGGGCCTTGGGAGCTCCCAGCAACGTTCAAACACCGGAGAAGGCAACCAACAAGTTGGGATCTTTTGTTTACTGTATGTTAGCTGAGTTGATTGAGAGAAGTAGCTTGAGTGCTAGGTTTATGGAACATAAAACAAGATTGGTTAGATGTGTTTGTGAAAAAATGTGTTTGTGAACCAACTTGATGTGTTTGTGAACCAACTTAGACAACTTAGAACTGCGAGGCACTTTTTGTATGGTGCGTACACAATGTGTGTCAATTGTCAATGCCATACAATGTGTAATACATATATATATATATATGTGTGTGTTCACTAATATGACGCATCTCTCAACCTTGCTTGTCTAAGGTAAAGTACTGTGCTTCAAGTACCACATGTCCGGGAACCCCGATCAATTTGCTACTTTGCTGTTGACACATCTGAAGCCGGTCTAACGATCGCATACAGTAACTAGGAAGGCATGGACACAATCAGTGAAGCAGGATCAAGTTTCCCAAAACATCTTGCAGTTGTTTCCCATCATTCCAAATCAGCATCAAAGCCAAACCATGATACGACAACCAATGGCCATCGAATCGTCCTGGATAAGTGAAAGCTGCCATAACCAAGGGATTTCAGGACACACGAGAGCAATCCCCCAAAAAAGAACCGTAATATATAATATGAACCTGAACCATTATTTCAGAACCAACTTTTATTAGTTACTAGTTTCTATCCATTTGGTGGTTGCTACGCTCTGGTAAAGTGACACTTCGCTATGGAACTCATCACATTTTGTAGGTAGATGATGATCTGTCATGGCTGCCATAGTTACGTTACTGCAGTTGATACGAATGGATGGTGTTTTCTAGCCATGTTCGAGGATTTTCCCACCCATGAAGCCCAGAAAATTCGTAGAATTTCCCAGCTTGCCACGTTAGTTTTTCCCTGCCAAAGGGTGTATCCCATCGTATATCTCGATTCAATTCGATGTTCAAACTATTTCCCATGATATGTTGCCATGATATTCCTAGATAGCCATGGATGGTTCCGGATATTCATTATCATAAAATAATATATTGCCATGATATTGGTTCATTACCATAAATTAAATCAAACTGACACAATATTCTAAACACTAGTACATACATGTACATATTCATAGTATATAGGTGTTTTAACATACTCTTAAACCATGACTGGTTGGTGGTTTCAACCCCTCTGAAAAATATTAGTCAATAGTCAGTTGGGGTTACTATTCCCAATATATGGAAAAATACAAGCCATGTTCCAAACCACCAATCAGCATTGGTATTCTCAACATTCCATACAATGTGAGGCCCCCCAGTTATAAGCTGGTTTATAAGCCCCAGTAACTATAGTTATAAGATGTTATAAGTACCATAAACCATAGTTATTGGAGTTATGTTCACCAACTTAGCTATCTTGGGGGCATCACATTGTAACATTCCTATTTTTAAAAAAAAAACATGAGGATCTTAGCGCCGGCACGGCACCTTGGTAGTGGCCTTGTACTGCACGGGATCCCTGCGCCGAGGGTATCCCAACTTGTAGACGAACACCACCCGGCCTAGCGCGCCGGAAAAGCCCAATGGCGCCGAACGGCGCCGGGACGTTGATATGGGATGATTCCTATACTGGTTGGTGGTTTCCCCTTTGAAACATATACAAAGTGGGATGCTTCTGACCCTGGCTGGTTGATGGTATACCTACCCTCTGAAGAATATGAAAGTCAGTTGGGATGATGACATTCCCAATATATGGAAAACAAAATTCATGTTCCAAACCACCAACCATCTATATGACCTTGGCCTTCACCTCATGAAATTAGATGAACTTTGATGAACCAGTCAACTGACAAGATCTGGTATACAACTAGCTGGCTTAGTCCCTTGAAATATCTTGAAATCATGTGACAGATACCTGGTGAAACTATGTTTTTCACTGGTTTCTTGAAGCAAAGACTACAGCAACCCTTTTTTCTAACCATGGCCCATCCAAGTAGTCTCGGAAACTGGACTGGATAAGCTGAGAATTCGCCAGTTATTTGTTGGATCCTTCAAAAAAAAACCGATGCTAATCACCAAAATGCTGAGACTTCTGACAATGACACATCATCAAACTGTTGAACTACTATCCAATGGCTTGGAAACCCCGCAAAAATCGATAAAACGATGGATGACAATGCTCCGCTACAAACCTGGACATAGATGGCCACACAGGAGTTTCAGTGGGATGATGTGGGATGCACATCCGAAATACCAAGTCAGAAAGTCAGCCCATTTATGGAATTATAAGCCTATGTTTATAGGCATATATCATATATTTAATGAATTTAATGATACTTAAAACATTTTAAAACCATAAAAAAGAATCTCGCTGCGACCCTTCGCTGCAGGGCCTGCCACAAACAAATCATCCTTGGGGTCCAACTTTACGATGCGTTGCAAGCGATGCACTACGGACAACGGGTCACACTCCTGGCCACGGACTCCGTGCTGTTGTTTTGTCCTTGGAATAGTTGACCATAAAAAGGAACACAGTGGTGTTTTTTCCAACAACTGAGGAAAAAAACACTTTCAAGTTGTCCTTGGAATGTGCTGGAGGCCGGCTGTTTACACAGAAATCCTAGGCTGCAGATATTTACTAAGCACCTCCAAAGCGTTGGGATCTGTCAGACCGGCCCAGTCCTCAAATTCGTCATCGTCCATCAAGCGCTTCGCTTCCTTCCAAATCGTACTCATCAACCTGAAGCTAGGCACGATGTCCAAAGTGGGATGCTTCTGACCCTGGCTGGTTGGTGGTATACCTACCCCTCTGAAAAATATGAAACTCAGTTGGGATGATGACATTCCCAATATATGGAAAAATAAAAAATGTTCCAAACCACCAACCAGCTGGATGTTGTGACAACAAGCACATTCCTCGAAATCGGTTTGGACCCTGAATATGACAATTTGATGGCTTGATCTTCGTTTTTTTCAACAAGAACACATGCCCCCCACTGTGGCATGATGCAACTACAGACGCCTTGCAGAAAATACCGAAACTAGAAACCAAGGGATTTCCACGATCAATGCTAACATCAACCGCGTCATGTAAATGGAATAACGCAACAGAAAATGAACAAATTATTATACATTAACTATAAAATCAGTTGACATGTTCCGCATATATAAACCACATTAAACATCATTAAACCATGTTTTTCACCGCATGCAGTTTGGTCACGTTTCGTCTAAGCTCGATGGTTTGAACTTCCCCAGAAATCTACAATGATGGTCCTCTGGAAGTCATCATACTGCATCGGAAAAAAACATGAAACCAACAACCAGATACGTGTTTGAACATCACCACCTTTCCAATTGTTTTTTGTACATTCCTTGGCTGTTGTGAGCCTTTTAGCAGTAAATCCATATCCAAGGCCTTCGGTATTTGCTGTAAGTTCCTACAAAAATGGCCCCCCAGTTTTAGGTTATAGACTTGATAGACTGTATATTTGATCTCCACACAGCAATCAGGAATTGAAGTTATGTGAACTAACCTATCAAATCTATCATGAAATAGCTATTGCATGCTGCCACTTCCTTGGTGTAACGGCCCCTGACATGGTAGCCATATCTTACGCCAGTCAAGGTACTTGGCGTTATAGAGAGAAGCCTGGGGCGATGCCCGAAGAACCAACGGTTTGCTAGTGAAAATGGCCATAGAAATAGTTGATTTACCCAGCTATAAAATGGTGATTTTCCATAGTTATGTAAACGTTTACCAGATGGTTAATACATGTGAATACTAAACATGATTCCTAAATCATCTAAAATCTCTGGTCCCCTAGGGCTTAAATGTTGACTCATCTGATGGTACAATTCACCAATAACATTAGCCAACACGGTTGTCTTTAATGATTCACTTGGTGCTTTTTGGGAGGTTTGTCCATGTTTGCTGGGGATACATCAAAATGGCGTCATGGGAACAATGATGAGAAAATCTTATAGAAATAAGGGGGAACCTGGGATAGTGTGTTTTCAGACAAATTCATGTGGCCTACCAGTAGTGGGTTCAAATCCCTGTCCTCGACTCACTTCCATTTCCAAATATGGGTATGGGTCAAAATTAGGTACCCCAAAATTATGGATGGTTAATACTAAACTAGACTAACATCTGTGGTCCCCTGGGTCTTCCATTTTGACCCACATCCATATGTATAACCCCCCTACTAAGCCATGGTTTCTGGGGGGTGTTGCAGATGGCTGAGAACGGTGAAGCCAACAACTTTTTGGCTTCACAGACTTCACAGAAGGAATTCAACCAAAATAAGGAAGTACTGGTAATCTAAGCTGGCTTCGAGATCTAAGAGGAAGATGATCACATGCAGGAAATTCAGGTATCCATGGGATTTATGTGAATACAAGGTCATGTTACATCAGTTACATCATGATAAATTTATATAAATTGTCCGCAACTCATCCACAAGAATGGGTCAGGATGGTTCAATAAACCCTCACAGAGACGGCAAATGTCCAAGAGGATGTTCCAAGCTACGCCGACGAAATCCATGTGGTAATGCCATAAACCATCCCCAAATCACCATATTGATAGGTTGTACAAAAGTAATCATGGTAGGTTTTATTGGGCTTTCCACATTAAACAAAGTGCACCTGACTGAAAATCTCCCATGTCCTTGCCCGTGACTAAGACACCCGGGTCACAAAGTCGTCATGATGGACTACGGATGTTGTGTAAGGAACCTGACTGCAGGCTAATGACTGCGGTATGGGTGGAACCAGCCAACAGGCAAGATGATTGTCAAGAAGCATAGTGGGAGTAGAATTCTTTGCCACAATACGACCAAGAACTATATATACACATTGCTTGAATTTGCTAACTGCAGAAGGGCCTGGTAAACATGGCGGCCTGCATCTTGAAATCAACAACAAGTCCTTGAATGAACCAATCAAACGGTAGACACCAAATTGGATCACCACGTAACATACATAGATAAGATATTTCATTTGGATCCATGGTGGGGATTCCACTGTACCAGGGTGATGAAGTTCGATAAGCAGAATGGTCACAGGTGGCAAGGGCAAAAAGAACACCGGAGTAGCAAAAACCATCTGACGCTTGGGATATCATGACTGCTGATTCATTAGGTGTCCGAATCACCATTGTTTTCATCAACTTTCAACTAAGTACTTTCACGAAAACACCAATGTGGTAAACCAAATAATAGACCATTTCCAATATTACCATACATTGATAGTGAAAATCATCCCCGAATGTTACGTACGTAGTTTTGCTTTTGGGTTTACCTTTTTTTTTCATACGAGCATAAATGGCGAATCTATCCATGCCGAGGAACCATCGACAAGGCCGTGTTTTTATCTAAGCAGGGAGGTGTGGCATAGGCAAAGCATCGGAGCATATGAGGTCTGGTGTAGAATAACCTCAGCTGGGGAAAGTCCACTAAGGTCCACCAAAATCACAAGCCCTGGCATCAAAACATCATCAAAACAAAAACAAAAAAACAAACCTTAAATGTTTGATGTTCTATCCTGAACCCCAAAGTTGTTTTTTGACATGGTTAGTTGACTTTCCCATCCCATTCCCATTGACTTGTCATTCACCAAGGTTTGCTAAGAAAAATAGTGAGTTCTGGCCAAACCACAGGGTTTCCACGCTGCATTTTTTCTATATTGGCAGCCCAAACTCACAACAAAATAACTCCAACATGCACTTTAGATTCAAAAAAAACTAGATATTTTTTGGGGACTTTGCTCAAAAATCTACAATCAGTTCACGTCCCAGCGCAAATGCCTTCATTGTTAATGCCAGGATCCCTACCACAGGTAGCAAACTTCAACGGTTGAACCATTTCAATTTGCTTCAAGGCCCCCGAAGGCTTAGACATCCCGAAATACAGCCGTTTCCCCAAAAATGCAGAAAATCCACAGTAAAATCTGCCTACTGATTTCCCCGTTTCCCCCCCCCCAAAAAAAAACGATCACAGCAAATCTGACGATTGAGTCTGGAGAATCAGGTCCCGTTGGACTTATAGCCATCATTAGCCATCCATCTTGTGGGGGGTCCATGTGAAATGTCGAACTGACAAGGTGCCGATCATGCAAGATCTTGGAGAGGCAACAGGCCGTGCCAGCACCCAAACTATGGCCACAAAGGATCAGTTGATATCCCAAGGGCTGAAGGAAATGCCTCGGCTGGTTTTTGGCGCAAATCTCAGATTGTGGCCTTTTTTTGCAATTTCCCAAACCAAATCTGATATGTGCTCGTGTCTTGTTGTACTGGAATATTTGGAAAACCGTTATAGTACCCCAAAAGTAATACCGAATTAAGAACCTCAATTAGTTCACACACGGACAAAACACCTACGAGGTTGTGAGTTGCGCCCAAATGTTTGTATAAATTGTGTGTAAAACCATCTAAATACATTAGAGATCAGCAGAGATATATTTTTTACCATACACCCTAGTTCACTAGTTCACCTAGTTATAAACCAATTTTAGCTAAGTAGGGAACACCTACTTCTAGAACAGTCCCCTAAACAAGTTCCAAAAAAATTGCAAACCATCCTCTCCAAAGACTTTGTTTGTCATCAATGCTCAATGTGATTCGAATTGCCCTCATGAACTATAGATATAAAGGACATATTTGATTATTGACTATTTAAATCCATATCCAGTTATATCCAGTTGATAGTTGACTGGACCTCATGGTTCACGACGGTTCCAGAGTAGTAAAGCCTCTTATAACCCCTTCCTCAACATCAAAAAGGTCAGCCTTTTGAACGTGTTCCGCCCAATTTGTCCACACCGCGCTGACAACATAAACTAAGCTATAAGTTAGAAGTATAACCAATCCTCTTCTCTTATTGACAAACATCCCTCCATGAAACCTGCTCATGTTGGGGTTCCATTTGCAGGGTTTCCATTACTTGGTGCATGTTCAGCCTCAAACCAATCAAAATTTATCAGAATTAATTTCATCTTTACTACTCACTGTCCTTAATGATAAACTAGACCCATGAAGAAGATCATATGTGCAACGGTCTCAGCATGGTATTGATTCCATGGTCATCAGTTAAGGGGGTATCGCTCCTCAAGGTTCCCTATCGCTTCACACAGTGGGAGCTCACCTTTGCTAAATATGATGAAGCACGACATACATGTTCAGGCAGGCCTCCACAATTCTCTGTCAAATTCTGTCAATGAGATGTCTAAATTACCTAGCGACTAGTTTCGTAGCCACCGGTCAGCTTCGCAACATGCAGGGCACTTTCCCCCTCAAATCGCCACTGCTGGTAAAAGCGGGAACTAAATAGTGTCGGTGAGGCCCGCCACTTGTCTTGAAGGACGCGCTTGCGAGCAAAGGCTGCTGCCCTGCTTTTTCCGCAGCTGTTTTGGAGCTGCCGTCTTCTCTCCAAGTCTGGCGGTCTGTTTACTTCTGCTGATTTGGGATACCGCCCCAGGTATCGAACTGCATCCCTTCAGGCATCATCCCCGATAACTTTTTTGCCGGACGCATTCTGGTCTTTACCCATCGCCTGATCGAGTTTGACAAGTTTTTTTGGAATTGTTTTCTCAGAAATCTCTCGCAGCAACACTGCCAACCTGGAGCTGAAAGTAAGAATCGAATCAGCCAAGAGCTTCTCTTGCAGCTTCAAATCCTCACTGCCCTTCATGGCATGCAACGTCAGCTGGCCCAAGCTGCCACCAACCCTCAGGCGGATAGTCACTGTCTGGCTGCACTCCCAAAGCAGCCGAACTCGTGAGGAGTTGCCAGCTCTCATTGCTTCAAACATCTGCAGCCACCACGCCATCACCAAAGCACTCCCTTCAAGAAGGGCCAAGCCTTCGGGAAACGACTGGGGCTGGAGGTCAGTCGAAGATTGCAGGTGGCATTGGACAACTCCCGGCGAAGAGAGCACCTAGTTCCTTGACCTGCGCCAGTGTGGGCAAAGAAGTGTGCTTCTTGCAGCTTTCCCTTGGGTAGGAGACTCACTTCAACCCACCCGATTCGCATCACTTAGACCCACCACATCACTTAGACCCAACACGCATCACTTAAACCCAACAAATTCGCATCACTTAACCCACCACTCCTTTGGTAGGGTTTGCTTGACACAGGAAGTACACAGGCATGACCCCTTTAGGCTTTCTTTGCTTCAGACAGGAAGTACACAGGTACGACCTCTTTAGGGTCTCTTTGTTTCACACAGGAAGTACACAGGTGTAGGTACGACCCCTTTGGAGTTTCTTTGCTTCACACAGGAAGTGCACAGGTACGACCCCATTAGGGTTTCTTTGCTTCACACAGGAAATACACAGGTACGACCTCTTTAGCGTTTCTTGGCTTCAGACTGGAAGTACACAGGTCCGAACCCTTTAGGGTTTCCTTGCTTCACGCAGGAAGTACAAAGGTACGACCCTCTTTGCTTCACGCAGGAAGTACTCAGGTACAACGTCTTTAGGCTTTCTTTGCTTCACACAGGAAGTACACATGTGTAGGTACGACCCCTTTAGGGTTTCTTTGCTTCAGACAGGAAGTACACAGGTACGACCTCTTTGGGGTTTCTTTGTTTCACACAGGAAGTACACAGGTACGATCCCTTTGGGCTTTCTTTGCTCTCACAGGAAGAACAAAGATACGACCCGCCTTAGGGTCTGTTTGCTTCACACAGCAAGTATACAGGTACGACATGGTACGACCCCTTTAAGGTTTCTTCGCTTCACACAGGAAGTACACAGGTACGACCCCATTAGGGTTTCTTTGCTTCACACAGAAAATACACAGGTACGACCTCTTTAGGCTTTCTTTGCTTCACGCAGGAAGTACACAGGTACGACCTCTATAGCGTTTCTTTGCTTCACGCAGGAAGTACACAGGTACGACCCCTTTAGGCTTTCTTTGCTTCACACAGGAAGTACACAGGCATGACCCCTTTAGGCTTTCTTTGCTTCAGACAGGAAGTACACAGGTACGACCTCTTTAGGGTCTCTTTGTTTCACACAGGAAGTACACAGGTGTAGGTACGACCCCTTTAGGGTTTCTTTTTTTTCCGACAGGAAGTACACAGGTACGACCTCTTTGGGGTTTCTTTGTTGTTTCTTTGTTTCACACAGGAAGTACACAGGTATGACCCCTTTAGGCTTTCTCTGCTCTCACAGGAAGAACAAAGGTACGACCTGCTTTAGGGTCTCTTTGCTTTGCACAGGAAGTACACAGGTACGACCCCTTTAGGGTTTCTTTGCTTCACACAGGAAGTACACAGGTACCCCTTTAGGGTTTCTTTGCTTCACACAGGAAGTGCACAGGTACGAACTTTTTTTAAGTTTTATTTGCATGTTTTGGTTTTTAGTGTCAATGATGTTGATGATGAAGAAGGAAAAGACGTGAAAGGGATGATGATGATGTTGATGTTGTTGTTGTTGTTGAAGATGATGATGATGATGATGATACTGCTGGTGGTGATGATGATGCTGGTGATGTTGATAATGATGGCGATGATGATGATGATGATGACGATGATGATGATGATGATGGTGATGATGATGAAGATGATGATGATGATGATGGTGATGATGATGAAGATGAAGATGAAGATGAAGATGATGATGATGATGATTGTTATTAAAATGATTATTATTATTATTATGATTAATTATTTTAAGATTCCATGACGCGGGTTTAAGCGATGCAAATCACGCGGGTTTAAGCGATGCAGTTTTGGAGGGTTTAAGCGATACCGTGGCCTTTTCCCTTGTCTGCACACTGAAGACAGACATGGGAAGAAGAAAGCATGTACGATTATTTCTTGCACGCTTTCAAGTCATGTGCGCTCCTGCGCCCATGTGTGCAGGTGCGTGTGTGTGTGTGCGCGAGAGGGGGGATAGAGAGAGAGAGAGAGAGAGACAGAGAGAGAGAGAGAGATAGAGAGAGAGAGAGAGCAAGAGAGAGAGAGAGAGAGGAGAGAGAGCAAGAGAGAGAGAGAGAGAGAGATAGATAGGAGAGAGAGAGAGAGAGCAAGAGCAAGAGAGAGAGAGAGAGAGCAAGAGCAAGAGAGAGAGAGAGAGAGAGCAAGAGCAAGAGAGAGAGAGAGAGAGCAAGAGCAAGAGAGAGAGAGAGAGAGCAAGAGCAAGAGAGAGAGAGAGAGAGCAAGAGCGAGAGAGAGAGAGAGAGAGCGAGAGAGAG